CCCTGTGATAGACTGGTGACCTGTCCAGGGTGTCCCCTGCCTTCACCCTGAGTCAGCTGGGATAGACTCCAGCCCCCCATGACCCTAGTGAGGATTAAGGGGTGGATAGATAATGGATGAAAATAACAGCAAATATCTGTAAAAATCATTTTTAAGTGATTATATTCCAGTAAAACTGTGTTATTTTTATTGTCTTGCATTGCAAAACAACAAATTGTAAATTTTGAACTTGAAATTATTTATAGTTTTGACTGTTTTTGTTTTGTTTTTTTTGCAGCCAACATGTAAATGAATACTTGACATGTAAAAATTAATTTACCATTTTACAATCCTCAATATAAATACATATATACATTTTCGTTCAAATAACAGCAAATATCTGTAAACAATGATTTTTTTTTTAGGCTGATTTAGGACGGTAACATTTTTACAGATTATGGTCAAACACTTCAAAGGAACAGCCATTTGTAAGACTAAAGATTTTTGATGTAAACAACTACTACGCTGCTGCCTTAAAACTGTTCGTGAACAGTTTTAGTATTCTGAATTGTGAAGCAGCATAATTAATGTCAGTGTCTAGTTAGGTGTAATTCCTAGATTTTGTTTAAAATGACACAAAACAAACAAAATTAAAAAGTTACTCGTGTTGTTTTCCAGGAGCGGATCATGACCTCCACTGTGTGACTGATTACTTGTTGACCATCAACTGCACCCTGAACATCGCTCCATCGGGAAACACTTCAGACAGCAACGGCTCCTACTGGCTCACTTGCAGAGAAACATTTGAAGAGTGAGACTTTTTTTTTTTTTTTTTTAACTTTCACATATTAATGATGGGTCACCTTCACTGTGATGATGATGATGATGATGTCTCATTACTGCCTCTCTCTCGTCCTCACAGGGAGGAGTATTCGTGCATGCTGACCAGCACCAAAGAGGGTTATTTCTGCTCCCTCAAAACATCTGATTACGACTATGACACATCAGAAACATTTTTCGATGTGGACATCTATGAAATCTCGCTCTGTCACATCAGAAGTAATGGCTCTAAAATCTGTTCGGTGCTGGATGAAGCCTTTTCACCTGCGAGAAACAGTAAGCAGCAAAACGATTCACACAGCAGAAGGTCCAGAGCACAGGTCTGCGTGTTCATATGAATCATAAATGCATCTAATGTGTTTTAAAACTGAATGTGCTCTCTCGTCAGTTAAACCGAACGCTCCGTGCTGCCTCACGTTGAGCCACAACTCAAGTCAACAGCACTTCACATGGATGAGCACCTATGAGGCGTACAGTCATTTCACCCCTCTGTTTGAGAACCTGCAGTATCAGCTCCAGATCTACAAAAATGGAGACAAACACGAGGTGAGATTCTGATAATAAACTGAAACAATGAATACCAGAGGGCTGTTTTCAGCGCTTAAAATTCACTGGAAAGTCAATAGTAGTTCAATAAAAGACCTTCGTTGACCTCCTGGTTGGTTGGCAGCTGCTCTAAACTGCCAAGAGACGCTTTGTGAGGTGAGAAACTACTACAGCGGTTTCACCAGTGGCCTCTGTGGACGTCAGCTTAGTGTAGTGACATTCTGTGGAAGGTGAGAAACTGTGACTACCACAGACATTCTGACTTTTCAAAGCAAGAAAAGGATATTTTTAACTATGATCATGGTCATCTGAGCTCATCTCTCTTTCACTTGCACTGCAAGGGCTTCATGTCTATTGTTGGGTCTCTACTGATGAAACTGATAAAACCTAAAAAGGTATCAAACAGTATGTTCATATTTAATATTTTGAGGAAAATATTTTGCAGTCAATGCCAGCATGAAGTCTGACTCTTAGACATCTGCAGGCACTTTGGATTTTCCCTGACGATGCTTTGCCAGGCCTTCAGAGAGACTCAGTCGGACTGAGATCAGAACAATTTTCCACCTTTAAACACTGAGACTCAGGGTGAAGGCAGAGGACACCCTGGACAGGTCACCAGTCTATCACAGGGCTACACTTAGAGACAGACAACCAAGCACACTCACATTCACACCTACGGACAATTTAGAATCACCAATTAACCTCAACAAGTTTCTGGACTGTGTGGGAGGAAGCTGGAGAACCCAGAGAGAACCCACACTGCACGGGGAGAACATGCAAACTCCACACAGAAAGATCCCGGGTGTCCTCACCGGGATGCGAACCGGCGACCTTCTTGCTGCGAGGCAACGGTGCTAACCATCGAGCCAGAATGTAGAATGTGACTTATTTTTTAAATCAAATTGTTGATTCTTTAACCACCAACCTGTATTTTTCTGGCATTTTCCTCATATTAGCTGTTGGAGTTGCACAAATGAGGCGCCACCTCTCTCTTTTACGTCGTTATTTATCATTTCTTTCAGGACATACCACATGGCATTAACACAAACAGCGAACACTATTCTGTGGATGAAGAGCAATTTCCGCCAGACACCGACTACGTTGCCAGAGTACGGTCCAGGCCTAATATGGGCTTTTACAGGGGGCAGTGGAGCGACTGGTCCGTTGAGGTTCACTGGAGGACTGCACCAGCCGTGGAAGGTGAGAAAACAGCTGAATCAAGAATAATCTTCATTTCTGAGACAACTTCTAAAAATCTACTTCTTTAACTGTGTTTGCCCAAGTCTTAGTCGTCCTCAAATGTATTCATACCCTTCTATTAAAGAAAAGGCAAAATGCACAATCGTCACTCGAATAGCTAGAAACTGAAAAAGGAATAATAAATAAAAATTTGCTAAATTAGAATTTGTGAAATCAGACATTGCTTTTGAATTGTGGTTGAAAAGAATAATTTAAAAAAAAAAAAAGTCCCTGACAAGTTAGAGCACTTTGCTGATGAGCAGTGGCCATAATCAAAACACCTGTCAACAGGTACAGAAATCTGATTGGTAGTTACAGAAAACACTTGATTGCAGTGATTGGCTCAAAGGGTTGTTCAACAAATTATTAGTTGACGGGTTCCATCATGCTTGTTTTTGTTTGTTTGTTTTTTCAATATTTCTGTTGAACCACAATTCAAAAGCAACGTCATGATTTTCATTAAATTTTTATTTATTACTTTTGTCAATTCCAACTTATTTCAGTGACAGCCGTTTTTTTCCTTCTTTAATGGGAGGGTATGAATACATTTGAGGACGACTGTACAGCATAACAGCATTTCAGTGCTACTGCAGATCCTGTATTAACCTCTATTCAGTTTCTGCAGAAGAAACTGTCTTTACTTAATTGGATGGATATAAAAAAAAATGAATCTAGTGGATATTTATTCATCCTCTGCGCCCCAAAATCTACCATAAAGTTTGACAAGTATGTTATCTATTTAAAAATGACTATTCATCAGAGCCAGAAACTGTAAAAATAGAAAGAATCATCTGACTTTTCACTATCTGATAATCCTTTAACTACTCATCTGTCATGTGCTGATGAATACATTTGAGGACGACTGTATATTCTCCTCAGTTAAAAGTCTACATACAGACCTACAGTTATGTTTTCAATATTTCCTTTGTTTCTCAGATTCCTCAGCAAATGCATTCGTCGCTGAAGTGGGCAAGAAGGTGTTCATCCCCTTGTGTGTGATGGTGCTGCTCGTCTTGCTTCTGTGCTACGCTCCGGTTAAAAAGTAAGGCCCTCCTTCAGCCTTTCACTGCTCATCAAACTCCTAATCACAGCAAACATCACTCATTTCTAAATGCACTTTTAAGAGAATGTTATTTTTCAGGTGGAGGCAAGGGGCCTTTATTCCAACTCCAGCTCCCTATTTCGACACACTGTACAAAGACTGCCAGGGAGATTTCAAGGTAAGTTTAGCGCTGGCACATAAAACACCAGCGTGTCTGTGAAGACTCTCAGTCATCCAGGTCATGGTTATTCTGGTAGATTAATCGTAGCAACTGGACTTGCTTGAGCTCTTAAAAGACGTTTCACCTCTCATCCAAGAGGCTTCATCAGTTCTGACTGACTAGTTGGGGCTTCCAGAATTGATGAAGCCTCTTGGATGAGAGGTGAAACGTCTTCAAGGAACTCAATGAGATGATTATTGAAACACCAGCAACTATCTCCTGAGGAACATCCCTGACCACGACTGTGATTACAGAGCTGGGTGGTCACACAAGACAGCACAGCAGCCATGACGAAAACAGAGGAAGTGCTGCACATCAACACCCTGACAAAGTGTGCAGACGTCCAGCAGAAGAAAGAGGAGGAGGACGAAGAAGAGCGTCACGTTCACCTGCAGCTGATGGAGGGCAGCGGCTACAGCAACATGACGATCCCAGCGTGCGACCAAGTTCTGCTGGGCTTCCCGTACGCCGTCAGCACCATGGCTCTGCACTCGGATCAGAAGGACGACCTGGAAAGTCTAACCCTGTGCTCGGAGCCACGGAGTCCCGCTGGGGACTCGGGCTGTTGGCTCAGCAGTGACTCGTCTCTGGAGAAAGAGCCTCCCTGGTACTGCAATGAGTACTGCACCCTGAGCGCCTTCCAGCAGTCTGGGTCTGTCACAGCAGAGCGCTGTGGGAGCTTGTAAACAAACGGCCACTGACTGAAGAAGCTGGAAATTCTGTTTTGTTGTAAATAGAGAGTGAGAGGATGAAGATGAATTTTAAATCATGTAAGTGGTTAAGCTCAGTGGCACACATTTATGGATGTAAATGTAACGCTTCTACACGGTCCTGCTGCTGAAAGCTCCAAGTAAACACAGTTCATCTTCATTTTTGTTGTCACAGTGCAGAAGATATTTGGCCAGTTGGGCAGCAACTAACAATTATATCCAATTATTTTCTTAATTAGTTATTTGTTTGCTCTACAAAATGTGAGACAATTGTGAAAAATACAGATGAGTGTTTCCCCACACGTCTTGATTGGTCCACAATTCAAAAAGTATTACTGTCAAAGAAAAGTGAAGAAAACATTCAAAAACAAGGAGCTGGAAGCAGAACATTTCCTTTGTCTTTAAAAGATTCTCAAGCTAAACAACAAAATAGCCGATGCTTAATTTAACAGTGGACGACTGATGAATCACTGCAGCACTAATGGCCGTTTTAATTAATATAATTAACGGGCTCTTGTACAATTGTAGCATGTTTCTTAGTATTTTTTTGCATAATTTACATGATATAAAATATTAACTGCATAACTTTGTGCTTATGTTATGATTTTGTCAAGAGTTGGGCTGAAATTAAATTAGTTCTGTCACTTATTTGCTTAATTAGTTGTTTGCTCTATAAAATGTCAGAAAATTGTGGAAAGTGTTTCCTGAAACCCAGCATGACATCCTCCAATGTGTTGTTTTGCACACAACCAAAAAATATTAAGTTTAAGTTTGGAAAAAAACCCTGAAAATATTCAAATATAAGCACCAGTGAAATTTTACTATAAAAAAAGACAAATCCATCATATAGCTCATAATTAATAAGCAGCTCTATTGGCTCAGATGCATTTCTTAGCATTTTGCATCATTTCCATCATGTAAACTATTAACTGCATAACTTTGTGTTTGTGTTAAGTGACTATATTTGTCAGAAACTGCAGCTAAAACAGGTCTAAAAGATCTGAACTTTTCTCTCAATGTTTGTGACTCTGTTTCGTTTCATGCTAAGAAGGATTCTGTACATATTTCCTCTCATTTATAATAAAGAAACTACCACGTTTTGTAGAAAGTTTTATTATTAAGCCAACACATACATGAACAAAGCACCTTAAAGTCTGATACAGAAGTAAGCCTACCTGCCTCAGTCACTGTGGCCATTTTTATTTATTCCATAGCAAACACTCTGAATAACAAAAAGACAGCCAAGGCAGCAGATTCTATCGTATATTACAGCATGCTGAATAGAAAACCTGGGAAAGAGAATTAGACAGAGCCATCTAGAGACACTAGTGAGATACAACAGTATAAAAGTGCCATTCATTATACAGCAGTTGAAATACTGACAATGAAATAAGCTAATTTTACATTAAACTTATGGAAAATAAAGAGGGGAAACAAAGGAAGAGACCCTGTGAAAGAGCAAAATAAAACAAAAAGACATTTTCTTCCTTGAACATTGATGACAGCCAGCTTGCATGGAGTTGTTGAAACTGGTACCGAGCTGTGTCCCTTGCACCACATAAGACAATTAATGTTTAAAAAGAAATGACCAGGGTGCTGAAGCACCCATCCCCCTCCCAGCATTATGCGCCAACCGGCAATTAAGAACAAAAATGATAGGTCAGAGGAGAACGGATGGCACAGAATGTGTGGAGTTTAAATAGAAGTCTTTAAGCAAGTCCCGATGTGAGAGGAGCACATTCATTGAGAGACTGAGCGGGGAGGTGATTCTTGTTAAACCCATTCCTTCTGCCGCAGCGGAGCGAGTCTTCGCCCTTACGAGGGGGAGAATTTTTTGGCTTGTGCTCGAACTCTTTTTTCATATTCTACTCTGTTTTGGCTGGAAAGGGGTTAAAAATAGTTATTAAGATGTTGAGCGGTTACTGAAATCAGCAACATTTAAGGCATTTCCAAACGATAACAAAAAATAAAATCAGATTTTACTAATTGAAGCAGAAAATTCAGGGATCCGTTCAGATTTCTCTGTTGCCATCTGTACTACACAAGTTTCTAGAGTCCCAGGTTGCAGGTTTTACATGTGAACCAGGATCAAGCTGCACAACTTAGTGGAGTGTTAAGAGTTAATACGGTCCCTGAATATGCTTCTCAGCCAGTTTAGACTCCACATGTGTCTCTTCAAGTGTCTTTTTTGTGTGAAGGAAGATTCTTAACTCGGTAAAAATAACAGAAGTACGTAAGTGGCAGTCATGATGAGAGCTGGTTGCATTTTCTAAACGCTAAGGCGAGGTGCTTTAATGCTTACTTTCTTAAAACACAGGATACATTGGACCACTCTTTATGAAGGAAAGGCGATGTCGTCCCACAATTCTTATTGGGAGCAACATTCACCATCCACAGCAGACCCACATCGGCTACATCCATGATTGCATTATTTTGTGGCCTAAGTTTAAGTGCAGCTGGATTTTCCTACACACTGAATGCTCCTTCATAGCTGTCCTTGATTTCATGTTTATTGTTAAGATCAAAGGAAAGAAAAAGACCTAGACGCATGATATCTTTTTTATTTTTACACGTCAGCATTTCTCACCTCGTTAGTGAGTCGACGTAAAATGATGTCAGTGTGAAATCCGAATACAACTTGGCTAATAGTGGAAAAATCTGGTTCCTCAGTATCAATCCGCTCTGTCTGGCAGATCACCAACTGACTTTATCTCATTTGTCCTTTTCACAGACACTTTAAGCAATTTTAAATCAACACCTTGTTTGGAAACGCAAAGAGATTAAACCAGTGACACTCACCAGTAGATCGTGTAAGCCTCTGCTTGGGCTGGATCCTGGATATTTGGCTCATTTAGGAGTTCCTGGATACCTAATAAGATCTAAAGGACAAAATGAACCAACAAAACACATTTAGTCAGTTGCAAAAAACTTAAGTTTTCTTTTGTAGTTGTGTCACATCTAGCTGAACATTTAAAACTATATCCCTTTGTTTCCAACAGATATGCTAAAATTTGGCTAAAGAGTAGACAAAACATACATTACATTTTATGAATTTCAGATTAAATAGGAAATAACCTACACAAACCTTCTTCCTTATAAGTTTAAAATGACTACGCCAAGACAATCAATATCTGTATTATTCTAGCCACTAAATAGGATTTTTCCAGCTTTTTAGAATAATTGGCACCTGAGTGACAGATATTCAGAAATATTAGCGAAATCAAATTGTGTGCATTTACTACTATGAAGTTTGAGAAACATTACGAAGTCTAATCATAAAACATGATCTCAAACCCCAGTGTTGTGCGTGAACAGTGCGCGCTAATCCCAACCTGCTTTATTGTGATGGCTGGTCTCCAGTCCTTGTCCTCCTCTAGTATAGATAGGCATACTGTGCCTGATGGATACACATTTGGATGGAAGAGTGGAGGCTCAAATTTACCTGCAACACAATAAAATGTTAAGTGCACTCCTGTTTCTGATACAAATTTCAGACAAGATCAACAAAACCCTCAAATGTCACTGGGACTTTTCGCAGCAGCCTCTGTTGTCGATGCCAATGGTAATGTCATTTTAATGTGGCATTCAGACGCCAGTAATGCTTAGTACACGTGTCGTATGTTAATGACTGAGTCAGTGTGTTAATGTACCCGTCATGACTGTATCAGCTCGAAAAATCATTCGCCTCTCATATCATTACAGGCCAAGTGCGGGAACATTAACAGTAAATGATGCATGTATGAAAGCATGTGATGCTGCTGCGGCCTGTGAGCTCATCTATAGTTCAGTGTCCCAGCTGCAAACATCACACCCTCAGTCTCTGGTCGTCATCTCGGGAGATTTTAATCATATATGGCTCTCTACCGCTATCCCCACATTCAGCCAGTCTGTGGACTGCCCAGCTGGAGACGGTGGGGCCTTGGACCTGCTGTGTGCGGACACCAGGATGCATATCACTTAATTATTGAAATTTCACCCGGTGGGGGATTAATAAAAAAAAGTATTCTATTCTATCTATTGGTCGGAACCACAAATCGGCATCCACGTTACATCTCTTGAACTGCACGAGATGTAAAAACTTTTTATTCACCATGACTCCAAGGAGCTGCATAAATTAGCGTTACTGCATAACAATGTGCCAATTTCATTTCCTTTCAGCAGCCTTTGCAATGTTTAAAAGTCTGCAATAGCCAAAGTAATGACATGGGAAAACCCTGTGTCTGCTACTTCTGTGAAAGGCTACAGACATGTTAGTCGTCCAATCACAACCAAAGTGTTAAATAAATCCTACACTGTTCAGCTTTAATGTGAAAACTGAAGCATGGAGTTACTATCGAGGAAGGCTGCAGTAACTGTAGCAGAGTTGCTCTTGGCTGTAAATTCCACTCCTCGTTACAACGATGACACTGCAATATGTTTGAAGGGATTCAAGATTTAAATTTCAGCGAATGGACGACAGATGTCTTATTTGGCCGTCACAAATAGTTTACAGATGTACTGAAAAAGCTGGGGAACTCCTTTGCTCAAAGGCCTCACATGGACCATTTCAAAACATCAAACTTGCATGTTTTCATCAGCTTAATGTGACCGTCAGTTAGCCATGAAAAAGTCAACAAGCTAGACTGTTACTCTGGCCAGCGTCAGGACAGATAATACGCTTTGTAATGCAAAATGCCCTCTAAGGAGGGGATGACAGGGTTTTTCCTGGCTCAGACTGGCTTTGTGGGGAGACTACACATGAAAGTGAGCATGATTGGTTTATTTCCAGTAAATACAATTAGTCTGCGTTACCTCATTTGGTAGAAATCCGTGCATTTTTCTGCTATTTCTAACAATTTAATAAACAAAAAATGTCTTTTATGCTTGTGTCAACAAAACCCAAATAACACAAAGTAATTCATTTATTTTCACTTGTTATGGCACTGGTTATATTCTTTGGTGCTAATTAAAATCTCTTTGGAGGAGGCCAAAAAAAATCTTCAATGCAGGAGAAATCCTGCATGAACTGCAGCATGGCCCCGATCTCACATTCCATATTAAATGATTTTCTGTGTCTTGTTTGTTATTAATCCAGCCTACTGATCCAAGTACAGAGATTTCTGAAAGGATCCGCTGGAGCAAATAACGGTTATTTTGTATATTAATCACAGTAACTGCTTAGTTCGTGCTGGATTCAAGTCAAACACAGCAACTCACATTTTGGAGGTGAAGACGGATAGTCATCCTTGAACAACATGCGCAGTTTGAACAGGCCTCCTTCCCATGGAGTCTGAGGAGACACAATCTTTACATCAGCTTTGTAACAAAGTCATACACAAGTTCTCATAAAATAACTTCTTACTGCTAGTTTATCTTTTTCTTATCCCAGTCCTTAAACAGGCTGAGTAATCTGTCTGGTGTTACTGTGTTTCTGTTGTCAGTGGCTCCTACACAAATCCAAGACGTTATGCATGCAATAGTTTTGCATTTTTAAATAGTTATTTAAAAATCACATTACCCCCTTCTTGCCAGGAATAGCACATTCCCAATTCATGAGATTCATGGTTCCGTCTGGATTTTTTGTTGGTACAGCAACAAATCCCTGGAAAATTGAAAGTGAGAGTGCAAACAGTTAAGATATCACTATCGGGTAGATTGCATGACACCATCTGAATAAAGTTCCAACAGACTTCCATTGTAGAAGCCACAATAAGCGAATCTCCTGAGACAGTACTCACAAAAGGATGGTCCTTCCGCCATGCCTTGCGCTCCTGGGCAAGCCGGCTCAATGCAATGCCTGACATGATTTGTGGACTCCTGCAATGAAAGAGAACGTCAGGAGGTTGATTCTTTGAAAACATCAAATCAGTGATTCATAAAGCAAAAAAGGAAAAAATCTTAACTCAATCTTAGCTGCACTAGATATTTTTCTCTGCTAATAAATAATAAAGTGTTCTAATAAATCAACCTACAGTAAATGGTAATCTGGGCCTTGAAGATGGATATTTTTCTCCATTTCCCCCCCAATACATTAAACCAAACTACTAATGAAGCAAAGTTTATCAATTAACTAGAAACAAAACTAGTTATTACATGCAGTCCTAATTGTTTTTCAATTTCTGTTACCACAAACACACTTAGGTGTGCATGCCCACATCCTGTAAACTGGTGTCAAGAACAGTATCAGTGCATGACAACGTGAAGGTTTTCATGTTTACAGAGAACACAGGAAAGCTGTCACAGATAATTACGTCATTCTGCACTTGTGGGTGAAAACCAGAAAAACTATCGTATAAGTAATCTAGAGCAGTGATATTACAGTATCAGAATGTGGAAAACCACAGTGTCCACAGAGATACTTATGTACAAGGGCTTTCTCCACGCATATTTGTTTGCACGAGTGGATTAATGAGCCCCCTCCTCTCGAGATAAACGGTGTGATAATGTGCGAGAACACCTGGTTACAATTACAGTTAAATATAAGTCAATCAGTTCATCGTGAGAGAATGTGAGACTATCACTAATTTATTTGCGTATACATGTGGCTGTACACTGGTCTGCCTCGATGCTAATTAACATTTCTAATTAAGAAGCTCCAAAGGAATGTGCACTAATCTCTATAGCAACGATGCTTTGAAGATCATGTCAGCGAGGTAAACCAACAAAACAACATTAGCATTAGCTAGCAATTGTCACCGCAGTATCTGCCAACTTATTAGCAATACAGCCGGACTATATAACACGCTGTCAATTTATTACTTAATACTAAACGCTTTTTTATCAGACTTACAAGCAATATGTCTAAAAGTAGCTTTTAATCCGACACGTCTGGAACGCTAAGAGGGCTAGCCAAGTTAGCCAGCGGTGATCCAGGTCTACAAAAAACCGTTTTCCGTTCTGTTTACGCGCCTGGTGTTTTACGGTAAATAAAAGGAGGCCCAGGAAACTACATCTGTAATATTGAGTTAAGTGTTCGTGGAGCTTTAATATAAAGTTGCTGTCACCGCTAACTGACTACCAAAGCTATTTGATTAGCAAGCTAGCCGGTTAGCTCGACAAGCTAACTCATGTGCGCCAGAATCGTGCTACATCCCAACAGGCGCTGGCGCTGTTAGCGTCTGACACGGCCTGATGCAGCACAAAAATGCGCAATTGCACTTGATTTGGACACAATTTTTAGACGGGAGAAAGTGATCGCTGCCTTTCGCCTGACGCTTAATACTGTCCATTCTGGACCAACAAACGACGATGTGAAATATTATACGAGATTAAACCACATCATAACCCATTAAAGAATAGGGACAAAGAACGCCAGAGCTAAAAGGCGCACATTTATGCATTACCAAACTAGCGAAAATGGCGCAAACTGAAGCGGGTAAAATATCATAATACACGGTAAAAATCAGCGTTGCCGTTATCGGGATACACTCCTACCTTTCAGTATGGCTGCACTGGCTCTGGTAATTAAGCGAAATGAATTAATCGTGCTCAAATCCCGTTAAAGCTTGTAAAGTTTCCCTCCTGAAAAACCACCCGCTCCGACTCCAACCAGACACAGCGAAGCGAAACAGTCACCCGCCGTTTACTTCCGTCTTTGCTTAAATACCCCGAGGAAGATCCGACTGCGCATTTACCTTTTAGCGGCTTGTGTTTTGCGTGTATTTCCTCAACTGCCAGTGATTGAGGCAAAAACTTCACCTGGCTACTTATTTTTTAGCTTTCATTTCGCTGGAGAAGCACAGCAGTTCCTGACAGCACCACAAACGCCTTTAAGCTAGTAGCGACGATAATCTTTGTTTTGCGGTAGTTGCTCTTCCCCTGTGCGCCGAGACTTGTCTACATTACCTGTTCAAAAAGTGTTTTTAAAAAGGCGCCGGAAATACGCGAAAGGATGCGCTATGTTTCACTTCAGGAGTATCTTGTTTATTTTAACCGTTTATAGCCATTTGAAATTAATAAAACGCTTCTCGCCTTTCCTACACTGGAACAGGCGCGACGTATCTCATTAAAACGACGACGCGGATTTCTATCTTCTCCTATATATCGTCTTTGTCCAGACTACAGACCGTTAACCCAAACAAACATGTCGGACAAATCCAAAAACGTTACCTGTACAATCACAAAATACTTACGGTTACACCCCGGTGTGCTTTTCGTCTGTAATATGCATATTTTCGAACACCTTTTATGGTCAAATATAAATAAAATAACGAATAAAAAAAAATATTTCACCTGAATTTAAACAGGCATATTTTCAGGCTACTCAGCCACAATAACGAGTTTTGAGGACCTGACACAAGAGGTCGCTCAAAACTCATCATTTGTTGTCACGACTTATCCGTTTATTGCCAGTCTGTACAAGCGCAAGAGCCCTCCGGTATCATGTATTCATGTAATTACTGATGTTGTAGAAACAACGCGAACACATTAAAATTAGTTATAGTCCGAGGAGATAAGAACACGTGCAAAAATAAATGTACACACACACAGATATGAATGACAACATTTTTATTGGGTTTACCTTATGCAAGACCATGTAGATCTATCCCCTTAACCCCCATACTTAGTTTGTACATTTTTAACATTGCATAAGATCGTATAGAAGTGATCTATGTAGTGATATGAGAACCTTATTAATGTAATTGTTAGATTGAGGAAAAATGACACATTCATTCCCTCTGATTACAAGTGTGATCATCATCAATCATGCATTACAGTGGTCTGTGGTTTATGACTCGAATGCAAAAACAAACTGGGCACTTAAAAGTATTAGGCTACAGATTAGATAAGTTTGTCCATCACATGAAAGATTATCAATGCCAGATACTCGACCAGACAACCTGTTTTGTGAAGGGCATTAAATGTAATGTAGCTGCTAAAGTAGAGGGGTTTAAACACCTCAGACCAGAGTATACCAAACGAGGTTACAGCTGAACCAAGCAAATCAAAACACAAAAACACTTTAAATCACAGAAGAAGAAAAAAAAAGTCCCAAAAGACTCAAATAAACCTTAGCTCTGAGCAGGTTAAGTTTCATCCTATTAAAAACGAGTATTTTACTACCATCGGGGAAGGGGTGGGAAGCGAGATTGTCTGCAACGCTCAAGCAATGGCTGTTAAAAACGGATGGAGTATCTTAACATCAGTCAGAGTGATTATCAGCTCATGGGGAGTGCTAGTTGCCATTGGTGCAGTCACACAAGTCAGACGTAGGTTAACGTGTGAGGGAGTGCAAGACAGTACATAATTGGAAGGCTTCAGAATACTATAGCAAATGTAAACATAGCCTAGCTCTGGCAGGAAATCCAGTCTACTTTGATTGAACCTCTTTGCAGATCTCAAATTTTGCACTTTAAAAGCCCTTGTGTGTGTTTGTGTTCATATATTTATATATATATATGTGTGTGTGTATATTAATTTCAAAAACATGCATCCATACTTGTTTCCTCGACAATATAAAAACCATTTTAGTCAAGTGTATACGTGTACATGTGAGTAAATGGAGGTTTGTGTGTCGTTAACAAGTCTATATGTACAAAGTGTGCCAGCATTAAGAAAAGTTTACTCATCCCTGACACTAAGATCAATGTGTACAATACACATAAGACATTGGATTTTGGTCACTGGGAAAAAGGCAACACTAAATGATTATTTGTGAATGAAATATCCAACCTATCAAAACCACACATCAAACCTGAAAACAACTTTCTATTAAAAAAAGTGTTCTAAAATGCAGTATTTACATTAACAACATTACAGGCTGTAAGCAATGTGCAGTGTTTTCCACTGTAGTGCTTGTAATGCTGTGTACGAAATCTACACAATTCAAAATGCTAAGAAGAATCTATCACACTGCAAGAAAAAATACATTTGTTTTTAAATGTAACAGTCAACTTCATAGCCAGCCAAGTATAGCTTTGTTATTGGTTATCAAAACATGTTCCAGGCATGTTCTCAGTGAAAGACACTGTATTCAGCATCAGCTGTTTCAAACCCCAACTCAGAAATCTCCTGTACAAACAATGCAAAACAGAAGTTAACATTGTCAAGATTTTCTCATTTTTAAAGATCCAGTATAAACAACTTCCATTTCGAAGTCGTTTTCTATACAGTGTACAAAACGTGCAGTTGTCTTAAGAGTTAAATATTAATATTGAATTTGGATTATTTACATGAAAACAAAATCCTCTTGATATGAACAGAAAGTCCTTCACCACCATCTTCAAACAGTTCCAGTCCCCCAAACACCACAAATACCTCCCCACAAAAAAAAAGAAAAAAGAAAAAAAGGTCATAAACAAGATGTTCCCTCAAAACATATGAAAAAAATGAGTAAAGGAGAACTCAGATGCCAGCGGGGAGAAGAAGAAAAAAAAGTCCCCATTGTCTTGAGGACATTTTTTTCCAGACAGGGAACAGGACATTGTTGGACACTGACGATGAAAAAAAAATGTTCTCACTTTTTAACAGAATTCACATTTGAAACACTTGATGTTTTTTGGCAGTTGACTTTAGATTTATGAACATGAGGAGGCCTCCAACTAAATCAGAAGTTTAAAACAATACAGCTTTATATAATTTAAGATCACTTCGGAGAGCCATTTTAGTTCTTTGCACCACCACAATTGTGCAGAAACTGCAGTCATCTTTATCTCCACACAAGTATCCTGAAAATATAATAACTTAATCCCACAGCACAAAGGTGTCTGTGGTTGGGCTGTAGTCTCCATGTCGACTGGTTGGTCAATATGCTCTCATCCAACCAAATTCTCAACGGTAAGAGAATCGCCAGTGTTACTTTCATAAGGAGAAAATGGCTACATCAGCGGCCTCAGTTAGTTAATGCCATGTCAAAGAAGTCGTCAGTGTGGCTGCATTTGTGTTAAAACGAATAGCCATAAAGTCGAGTGTAAACTTTGCAAACAGTAGTTTGCAACAACCAACATGGCAGATAATCTACAAACAATAGGCTAACTTGTCTGCAGTATATTTCTCGCGTTCTTGTGCTGAATCATCAGCCGATGTAGTTCAATTTTCAGAAAACATGAATGAGGGCAGGTGTACGCTGTCGGCTTCAAGTCTGTTGTTTCCATTTTAGTATAAAATAATAAGCTTAAAGTGGCTTAATAAGCTTAAAATATCAGCATTTTATGTTTATTTGTAATTTATTTAGGCTAATAAGGCTAGCAGGTAGAATTCCCTCAGTGCACTGTGGCTGATTTTATTCTCTGCTACTAAGAGATTGGTTGAAGAATAGGTACTATTTCAGTCGACCAAGATGTTCTTTGGTTGACTACAGCCCTAGTAGTTGGGTAACTAAGGCTGCAAGACACACAATGCTCTCATTTATAGTACAGGTATTTTAAAAAGTACTTAACTTCATGACATTACCATAGGCAGTAGATATTTCCATCTCAAAATTTGGCTTGATCCATATTCAAATGGCATTTTATTATATCCGTTATTTCCTCACCACTAATAAAAGCCCTCTTTATGTAGCTAATGCCCCATTACTGACACAGTCAAATCACAGTGACATTGTTGTTCAAAGCGTTCCTTGTACATTACTGTCCTTTCTGACAATGTATACCGACCGGAAAAAAAAATCAAGTGAAACTAAAATGATTCCTCAAATGCGTCTCTCAAAATGTGTGTTGGGTAGTTGGAATCCTCATGATCACAAATCTCAGTAAAACTGTTTCAAATCTTTGGATAAACATTTTGCTTTTGGGGTGCATTTCATATTTAATAGCCTAACTCTTTAACAAGTAAACGCACAATTCCCTTCTTAACATCTCTAAACAATGATTCTGTTTTTTGATACTCAGAGTAATAAAGACCATACTGATCCCTTACCAGACCCTTGAGTTGGAGGATATAAGAATTAACTCAATAGATGACCCTGAGAGAATCATTGGCCTTATATGATGACGGCCATATTTTATAGCATAAAACATTTGAAGATTACAATTCCTTACTTTCAATTAGAAAAAAAAAAAGAAAAGAAAAACTTGCCGCTAATTCAAAATGGTCCAGTTTAAATGTACAGGCACAACTTGTCAGTAAACAGACTTATTTACATTAAGAAATAAAAACTAAAGTGGAGGGAAAACACAAAATAAATGCACAACCCCCCCCTCTTTAAATCTCCATTGTGCCAAACGTTCTTCCACAAAGATGATATGTTTGCATCATAACACCTGGAGCTCATAATACTGAGTCCCTTTCACATCCGGGAACCCCTTTCCTGAAGAATCTGCAGAGATGGAAGGGGGAAAAAAAAACACAATGAACAAAAACACATCATAGAACATGGTCTGAAAGTCACTCAGTACTTGACACTACGCTGCCTCCAGCATTTCGGTAGTCACAGTTGCTTTTATAGTCCCCCCCCCACAGAAGCATGTGTTCTTGCCACAGTGATTACTCTCTCCCAGCCAAGAGCACTCATACATTTACACTATGCGGTGGGCGAAACAAACACTGAATAGGGTGCAGAGAAAAGGAACGTGCATGAGTGAAAGCAGTGAAAGAATGAAAAACAGAGTTCCTTTATGCAGTTTACTCATAAATTTGGAAACCTCGTCAGGCAGAACAAACCTTGGTACTGGAGAGACAGGCTGCTAGAATATTACCACGTAATGCTTGAACGCTGGTTCATCGCGCTTCTAGTGGCTTTTAGGCCACCATCACATATGTTGTAAAGTGAACATTTGAAAGAATCAAACCACAAGTAAATTAGGTTTTGTTTTTGGTGCAAGCCTTCGTGCTTAATTTGGATTTCTTGCTCAGCTGCAAGGGCTGTCCAATTAATGAATTAATAATCCCAATCATAATTTTGGCTTCTTATAATTTAAAGAACATGATTTCAACAGTTAAAATGCATCCTTGGTCACACACCTGATGGAGCTGATGTGCTGCAGCAATTAAAAGGAGAGACTGGAGGCTTCTCTGTGCACAGCCACCTCGTTAACATCTACTGCAGGCTGCATATGAGGCGTTTAGGGGATACTGGTAAATTATAGTGCCTTTTACTATGTTCAGCAAGCGAGCAAGTTTTAAATGAAGAAGAACCTTTTTTTTAAGTTTCATTTTGATGCAAAGATGTAAAATAAAGATTCTTTTCCCTTAAGAATCAATGAGTAATTGTGATAATTACGAACCCAATATGGATCAAAAAGTCGTAATCATCATTTCGGCATTTATACTGCAGCTCTTTCAGATTCAGTGTTTCTTCAATGGAAGTGGCCCAAACCAGTATTGAAAAAAAAAAGGGAGATTCCAAGTGATATGTGTTGTTTACATGGTGTTATTTAAAACTGATGAGTCACATATGAGCAAAAAAAAAACATACATATACAGCAATCTGACTGTAGTTTTAGTGTTGGGCGATATGGCATGGAAGTCATAAGGCAAGTGGTCACTTTCACTACCAATTTGTTATTCTGAAAAGCTTAGAGACGGACAGTTTATTAGTGGTCTGATTTTAAAAATACGTACATAAATACAGACTACTGCTAGTTCTGACAGAGAAGTGGTGGAGGGAGCACATCAGTCCATCCTTCCCATTCAAAGTCATTCTCTGGGAGAATGAGTCAAAATGCAGCAGCTGATGATTCAGCATGCCCTCCATTAACCAAGGCTGTGAGCATGTCAATAATTACAAGGGTCGGAAACAAATGGAGCTCTTCCCATCTGGTTTCAAAGAGAGCTTCACCTGCTACAAAGTCTCCAGTCTCAGCAGGAGCCATCTGGCTTTTGATTTAGCTTTGGCTCGCACACGCGTTTTTCCAAAGCTGATTTCCAACCTGGATTCTGTCACTTGACTTTGGTGTTAAGTACCTTATATCAGCTCTTACTGTCTTTGAAAGCAAATGTGAAAAAGGGAGCGTTAAATGCATCAAGGAGAGTGGAAAAGGAAGAAGGACAAACTAAGGAGGTCTGGTGGTGGTGGTGGTGGAGGGACTACGAGCAGTTGAGCGCTCACCAGTGAGTCATAAGTGCTCAACCCTAATCAGAGTCATTCATTTCATAATCCGTCTCTTCGTCCTCGCTCTGAGCAACATGAAGCATGCAGACAGCACAGAAGAAGACAAAAAAGGCGTGTTGTAAAACAATGGAAATGAATGAAGGTGTCAAAAGTTGGGAAGGAGAACAAGGTGAAAAAATAAAACTAATGGTTATGTGCAGAGGGGATTAACATTATTAACAAACATGCAAAACTCAAAAATGACATCCAAGGACACCTTCCTGCCAAGTCCAGTTGTTTTGCTTTTGAGCAGAGAATTTCAAATCTCTGTAAAAATATACAGAGGGTAAATCAAGTCATTATTAGGAAGCTGGTTTGGATAAGGTGCCCCTGGAAATAATCACAGCAACATCTCTACTTGCTTCAAAGATGCACTGGCAACGTTTAATCATCTACTAAACAGCAAAAATAATATCATAAATACAGCTGTAACAATGCGTAGCTCCCTGCAGTGGACAAGCTTAGGTTCCACTGGGTGTGCCTTCTATCTGCATCACTCCCCAAACCTTTGAGAAAAGGTCAGACCTTGCCACTCGCCCTCCTAATCTGCAGACCTCTGCTCTCTTAATGCTCCTAGCATGGATTACACTGTTTAGAATTTAGGTTAAATGTACCATGACATACATCCTAACAGTGAGTGAATTCAGTGGGAAACTCCTTTGTGTGGTGCAGGAGTGAACACAGCTCTCTTTATGTCTAAATCCAAACAGGAACAGCCAGTAATAAAATGCCGCAATTCACGTCTTCTTTAATTCATACGTTTTAAGTTACTTTTTTTTGACTGCTCAAGGTTATACCGGCACTTTTTTCCCCCAACTGAGAGGCTGAATATTCACAAAGCACTCCTTCATTGGGATTTCTCATCAATAAACTAGAGGTGCTTTCAGTCCCCCCGGTGGCATGTTCATAAATGTAACGCATTTAAAAACATCCTGCACAAGCCATCTTTCACTGCTGTTTGCTGCGGATGGCTTTTCAACGCTCCTTTCCGCACGCTTACCTTCGCCTTCTCACTGGGCTCACTGTTTGTCCCGTATGATTGATTGTGCAGCTCCTTGGAGACTACACACAGGAACTCGGCTTGGTCTTCGTTTCCGTAGTTGTAAGAGGAGCCGATGCTGACCAGCTAAAGAGACACGAGAAGAGAGCACAGAGGAAGAACTGGCTTTAGACTCACAGAGTAGAGGCAAAAACTGGGTTACTCATGTTGGGAAAACAAAAATAGGGAGACCTGAAATTAATGTAAAAGAAACCAAACATGGGAGTGCAGAGAGTCTACAGGGTTTTATAACTTAAATTTAAGCTGTGACAGTTTATTATAGATGGACAAAACAGGACACGTTCTATGAATTAGACACACAGCCCAAAATAGTACAGACCAATCCAAGCATGATCTCTGTAATTCTCACTTTGTAGTTGGCTTTTAAGATTAGTTACCTCATATTTATTGCCTTTAGTGTATAGATAGCAAAGCAGAATGCCATAAAATGTGGGACAGGGTGGGAATGACACATGAAAGATCCTTGGTCAACCCAGGAGGGCCATGGTTTCACAATTATATGGTACACCTAGGGCAATAGGATGTGTCACTTTAAAATTTCAACTAGAGAAGTAATACACCAAGAAAGGCTAAGTTGAACTGGGTGGGGAATTAAGTCATTACATTTATAAAAACAAAAAATTCAGGACCTGCAGACATACAAGCAGGAAACCAAAAATAAAACAATCAGAGGGAAAAGGGAAAACTGAGTTATCGAAGCAGTCACATAGAAATAAAAATGATCAGTGGACCAGAAGATAAAATAATGAAGAAAAAAACAAAACAAAACAGCACAGACACTATAGACAGAAAAGGCTGATCAGTAGATAGTTACTGACAATACACAAGTGCAGGGACTTGACCACAGGAAGCAAACATGCTGGTTGAAAATCAATGGGGAATGGTGGATTTGACTTAAGGACCAGGGTTGTTTAAAGTGAATAAGTACAACTGAGGCTTTGAAAACTACAGTATCTGTTACAAAGTAAAGACCGAACCACAGACAATCACTTCATTTTTAAGCTGTTTGACTCAACTGTTCGTATTAGTGTGATGTAGACGGCACGTGAGATTTTCCTCCATTTCTTCCATCGTCAAATTATTTGAGCTCAATACAATCAACACAGTATTAACTGAGCTGCATTCTCTACTTTGTTTCTGTCTGTCACAACAGTGTAGACTCACTGGAGATTGGGTCAACCCAAGTACAACCAAATGAAAACATCACAGAAACTACTAGTTGCAACAGCAGGTTAATGTTTACCTCAACACGTCAGAAACTGTCTTACAGGAAAAGGAGTGTGTCAGAAAACCCTACGAATGACACCTTCAAAACATCCTAATAATAATTCTGGTAACTTAACTATTCCTGTTACTTTAAATAAACATCAGAAAAGACACAATAGGACAAATAAAGGCATCCTTAAAAACAAACAGCATGCATGCCTTAAAAATCATGAGGAGAAAAAAAAAAGAACAGAGCAATTCCTGCTTCTGAATATCTGCTTTTGCTGTTGAATATTAAGTGTGTGTACTGCAGGCTACATGTATATGGCCTGTACCCAGGTGTGCATGTTCAGACATGCATCGCCTCATTAGCCACTGCTGCCAGAGACTTGTTGTTGTGAAGTCAACTCTCTAACATTCGGCATCAGTGTAGAAAAACTGACCAAATAACCTCAACTAGCTAACCATTCCACTTGTCACAGCGCTAAGATGTTCAACATGCACCAAATCTTATGACTTTTAGTGTACAGTTACACAACAAACTGTCTGTTATAATCTTTAAAACAGTAGTAGGTAATTAAAGCTCTTCTCTCCAAAAGACTCTCCTGGGCAGATGCTTGAGCTTTAGGCTTTTTAGCTTGTTAACATATCCATATGGCGTTTTTTTTTTTATATATACGCAGGAAGAACGCATCATGAACAAAATAACCAGTAAACACTAAGGCTGAGTAGTTCCACCCTGAAACTGTAGTGTACCGATGGTAGTCTCAAAAACACAGACTCAGACTTCTGTGTTTCAGGCAGACTGGTGTACTCGAGATGCACTGAGTTACAGAGGAGTGAGTGGAGAAAGAGACAGGGACTTCATAGATCTGCAAATTCAAAAGGAGGACACAGCAGTGTAGAGTTATATCTCAGCCATTTTAAAGTAGGAAGGGATTATTTTCCTTTAAAAAAAACAAAACTTCTAAATAACTTCTAAGTTACTTTGATGCACAATGATGAGTTTTTAGGGGCTTAATCAATGACCTGAGAGGGACTTTAATGTTTGACTATTCCAGTTAAGAGGCACATTATGAACTTGGAAGAACAGAAAAAAATAAAAAAATAAAACATTTCACCTCTACAACAACAACCAGTACTATGTTACAGCCCCAAAAACAATCAAGTGTCTACATCAAGGCAAAACAGAGAAAGCTGCTGACAGGCTTACAAACTGTGAATGCAGTATGAACAAAAAAATAAACAAAATTAAATCACAGACAAGAACAAAAAGGTGTCAGGTTCTCTTAGCCTCACTGGTGAGCAAGCAGTACAAATGAACATTGAAAAGAAATCAACTAAAAAAAAATAACCAACAGCTATGTGTCTACTTGGGACAAACAATGGCCAACGGGGTGTGTATGGACAACATGGGGACCATGCAGTGACCAGCCCGTGGACAGAAATTTGTGGGACACACCTCTCCGCTGTTGTTTGGCAAAGCAGACTCCTCTCCCTTCACCTCCCTTGACACAATCAGCAGAAACTCTGACTGGTGGGCCCGCCCGTAACCTATACTGACAAGCTGCAACAACCAATCAGAGCACAGAAGGGATGCCCGGATCATGTATGCGGACATTGAGAAAGATGTGATTTGCTGTTGGCTTTTTTTTTTATCCATTTCCAACATTGAGGATTGGACTTTCTGGGTCAACGTGAGCATAGCGGGGTGGGTGAAGCACATGAAAGGAGGATTGCTGCTGTGGCCCTGCGAGAAGAGATTTACCTGCTCAAACTTCCAGCCGTCAGACATGGTTGACACCATTTGTGTCAGCTCCTCCTCCTGGCACTGCAGCACCCGGTACACATGCTTCACTGGAACCTGAAGACACGGATGAACGCATGAGAAAAAAACACTAAGCAATTACACAGTGTGGTACATCAAATGTAATCGACACAACTCACTTATTTCATTTTTAAGGAATGTCATCATTTAAGCGTGACAGAAAACTTATACCTGTGATGTTTTGCAGTCGCGTTCCCTGATCTTGTCCTTGATGAGCTTTATTAATGATGTGATGTTGTAGAATTCGGCTTCCTCTAACACACCTAAAAACAGGAAATAGGAAACTTTTTTTTCCCCAAGCAGGTATAGTGTGCTGCTACTCCTTAAGATCAGGTTTATTTGCTTAGAAAAAAATAAAAAAAAATCACATACACTTTGGAATTTGCAAAGATGCACAATGTGTTGGAATCTAAAAGTGCACTTGTCTGACCAACCAAATTATTTCTACGGCACTTGAATTCTGTTAACCAAGATGTGGGTGGACATGTAGGCAGCTCAAATGGATTGCCCTCATCCCTTATTGATAAAACAAAGACTTTTTGCAATTGACCAGTGTGCTTTATGTAAAATATATATATATGTACTGTGGTATCTTACATAGAGATGGACTCGTCTGGCTTGTAGTCTTTTCGCTGATTTGAGGATTTGTCAAGAGCCATTCTATATCCTGCCTCCTTGTAAACATTTTTCCATTTTACTGCTGAAATTGATGCAAGTAATCAATGCGGTGGTGATATGTGTGTGGGAATTGACTTATTTGTTCAATAAGTTGGATGTCGGGGAGATTGAATTCCCTGCACTACAGAGAAGACCAAGCCAGAGGTGTGCCTTCTACTAATTTGCCTTTATCTCTTTGCAACAACTACCATCTTTATTATTTAGATATCAAAACATTAGCATTTAGATTATTCAAATCAACTATTATAAAGGGAAATGTTGTAAACAAATACTAAACCGGAGATGGTTTACAATGCGTTTATCATAAACACTACTTTACGCTCCACAGAGACATTACCTTCCTCTGCCAAGTCCCTGTTGAGCACCAGTTTGCCATGCCTCAAGTAGTTCAGCACTGGCCCAAAGTATGTGGGGTCTCTGTCTATGAGATAGGCACCAGTTTCATCCTGAAAGGCAAAAAGAAGAAAGATGAAATTAATCGGAAAATACTGGCACTCAGTCTCAGTTTACGATTTTAAAAAGAACAAGCAGACATTTCTGTATTTCTACGATTGCCCTACAAAGGTGAAACGACTGGATTTCCTAAAACGACACTGCTTCTTTAAAATGACTCTTTCAATGAGCAGGCGTACACCTTAATCGAAACATAATCTGAGTGGAAAAAACCCCCCCAGTGCGCATCAGTGAACAAAACTCGAGGGATGAGAATTACCAGGTCAGCTCCTGTGCTGATAATCTCCACCGTGGTTGAGAAGACATGCGCGTGCAGAGTCACACATATAACCGCTTTGGGATATCACTTCCCTATTCCCACAGGCCTTGGGTTTTATCCTGATTCCTTCACAACCGCTGGGTATTCCCCTATTTCTGTAAGTACTGTGATTAGGCCGTCTCTGTCTCATGGGGGAAGAGGAGGCTAAAACAATTAGAGCAGAACAGAAAAAGATTTTGGAACAGCAGGCCGAATCCACCAAGGGGACCAAGAGAAAGCACCTTGGCTTACGACCAAAAATTAGCCGAGTCTGGTCTGTTAGATAATTGGCCTCACACATAATATGAAAGCCAGTTTGTACAGCTGTCCAACATCAAGTTACATCTGAAAGTTGCTTAATTCAATGTGACGTTTGGTGAGTCAAATGTGCGTGACATTTAGTAAAATACTCAGCACAGAGGAAAGGCCTTAAGCAAATGTTGTACTAATCCTCAAATGCTAAAGGATGTTTGACTTTGCATCAGCTGAGTACATGGCTTCAGAAGCAATCTCGACAAAGAAGCAGCACTGCAGGTTGATGCAACTTGTGACATTATTTACTTAAGAACAGAGCAATGTCGTCACACACTCCAGGCCACGACCAAAATCAAACACGCAGCCAAGCCCTCACTGACAGGCACGTGTACGTTCGTAGTTAGTTTCCTCGGCTAAAGATGGATTCAGCTCAAAACCCATTAATCTTTACAATAATGAGACAATGTCCCAGCGCTTCGCTTTTGTAATGAATCTGAGGCCTCCTGGCTGGTTGACCTCTTTTTCATGGCAAAAATACTCCACCGGAGCCCAGTGGAGCTCTATTCGGGTCTCAGTGCCCAGTGCCACTTTCTTACGCTTCCATAGTCGTTGGAGTTTAAGCACAGGTACATGTGGCACTGTTGACTTTCACATGTTATGTTAAGCTTAAACCCTGGCTTCTCTTTTTTCCTCCGTGCGAAGTAAAACCCGAGGTACACTAAATGTTTCCATTTCTGTCTAGCCAATGACCACCTGTGACCAAATCCTTTGACAAAGTCCCTACACGGTGTTGAACAGGGCTGGAAGTCACAGAATCACTCCCAATAGGACACTTTCAAAGTGCGTCACCCACAATAACAACGGTATAATGATATATTGTGCGACACTTGATACATTGCAAGACATTCAAGTATTAGACATCGCGATATCTGAGTAATTTTAGAAGACAAGGTACCCCTAAAGAGGCAGAAAGCAGAATTAATATATGTATTTGCTGCATATGTGGGTGTGTATTAATATTTTTCTATTTTGATAACGTGCAGTCCTAATAATGACTTTTCACTCACTGTCTGCCACTTTCCCTGTTAGGTACTTCTTCTTCAGTGCAGGTTAGCTAACCTACATTCACTTTATCCAGCTGACATCAGACTCTGTTTACAGTGCCTTCATGTTTTAATAAAAATATCTATATTTGGAACCAGTATATCAATAATATATCAAGAGACAAAAATCCTACGATGCACCACCCATGGCTAAACACTGAAAAATGCATTACTGCTCTAACATCCAATTTCCAAAATGTATTTCTTTTGTTCATTTAAAAATGAAGTATGTTTTAGCGTTACAGTAATTTACCCTGAACACTGCAGACATCCTTATATTTTTGTCTGGGAAGCATCACTGGTTATCCCCTGTTAAAAATCTTCTTATATACATGGCACTTTGCTTTCTGAACAAATATTAAAAACAGGAACCTTTGCTGGCACCAGTGCATTGGCTGAACACATGTGTAAGCCTTTTTCACAGCAGGCATTTTGACTTGTTATAGCAGGAGAAGCACAAGTGGAAGTTACAACATTAACGATGGCTCTGTGACTGCAATTAAAAATGGAACTAGGTATACCCGTGTCTCGCTGCCAGAACACCCTCCTCTGATGAAAGATCTACTCAATTTTAGTCTCACCTTTACTGCGATTACTAGATGACAGTTTGGGAACATATAAGGAGCAGAAAATATCCTCTTTTGTATTTCAAAAAGGGAAAACAAGCCCAAAGATTAAGGCACATATCATAAAAACATTACTGACATAGTTTTGGTGGGAAGCGTTCCCTGTCTGGATCAAATAAACCTGGATGAGTTGTAAAGCACTACGAGCATACCTGTGCGGCATTTGTCTCAGAAAACAATGTGACCGATCCCAGTAAGAAGAGCACAGGACTACACTAAACTAATAAGGGCTGAATTCCATTTAGCTGCTTTTGTTTCACATGCTCACTGTCGCGCTGAGAGACCAGAATAACATGGACAGCTTTAATGTTATTAATAACACCTGTGCTCATCTTAGAATGACAAGTCACAATATCTGTTGTGAAAAAGGTCAAACGCAATATGCAAATAAACTGGATGCGCTCACACATTGAAATCTAAGAGCAGCTTTAACAGAAGAACATTGGTTCACTACCACAGATGAAACACGGATAACTAGTGTCGTCTACGCTTCTGTAAACTTGCTGACCTGCTGCTTGTTATATGAAAACCCTCAGCTCAATGGAGGTGGTCCTCTGGGTGCACATGTTTGTATGGGGGACTTGGGGTGACAGTGACCCAGTTCAGATAGAGATGATGATGATGATGGGGGCTCGGATACGGGCCCGTGTGCACAAAGAGGACAGTGTTTTTAATTAAAAACAAAAGGCTGTGTCTCTGGGGGCCCAGGCTGGGGAGCACTGGGCAACAAACAGAGGGGTGGGAACACAGGGAATAGGAGAATGGCTGCTGCTGGGATGTGCTGCAGACGGGCAGGAAAGAGGTGGAGAAATTTATTGAATTAGAAGGCTGGAAGTGCAGCCAGAGAAAGTTCACCATCTCTGTGTAGTACAACTGTCATGATGAGGAAAACTATCTTGACACATGTGAATTTAAAGGTTGTTAAAGACCAGGAAATTTCTAATATTGGTGAAAAGCTAGAGACCTCAGTTACACCTTATAAACGTGTATAAAGCAAAAATACAAGGCTTATAACCACCGAAACCAACTGGTGACATGACATTTATAGCAAATACACTGACAAGTGCCATCACCGCCTACAACAACCGCCACAAATAGGTCCGCATGTCTAGACAAGACATGCGACACGGTGTTTTTGGCCTGCAAACGTTTGTGTATATACAGCAACAAGAGCCGAAGCAGGCCTAACCATGACTAGATTCAAACCACAGACAAGTTCAAATTTAGATAAACAAAAGCCAATCAGATGGGTGGGCTTCACAGCGAAGGGAAGTGTGGTGTATGAACCTTATCATTCTTCTCCTACAATACATATCCTCCCACAGGAAGCACCGCGGTGACCCGCCCTTCGAGCACATGATGTCCAAAAAGGCTTTATGCAGACATTAATACTGAAAGTCAACAAAAAAAATAACACGTCCCTGCATGTTTGCTTCTGAGGACAACAATGGGTGTGCATTAAGCTCTGCAACAGATCCATTCATGAATTCAGCAACAACATAAGACATTGATTGCTACATTTCATACAGACTTTTACTAAATATACCAGCTGGTTATCCGTAATTATGAGAGAAAAGGCGGCAACAGCAGGAGAGAAAAACAATTAACACTGTCATGCGAAGCCATTCCAAATCGCTCAGGCCAAGAATAACAAGAATGGAGACATTATCAAATGCTGCTCTGCCTTCATGAGCCGAGTTGGTGTACAAGCCCCTAGCAGACACAGCGCTTAAAGATGTTGCAGTAGATCTTCTGAGTCACATGACTGTAGCTACTTAGCCAAGTGGAAGTCAGATCCTTGTAGAGCAGGAGCCAGGAGTCCCTCTGGAATACAGGCAGTAATGGCATAGTCAACTAGGCCTTCATCTTTTAAATAATACACACATCACGTCAAGGCTATATTATGTGAAACCGTCTCCTATTTCAAAATATTTGACACTGACGTCTGAATTCGAGTCATGACCTTACACCAAGGCTGGGAGGAACTTCTCGCCTTTTTACCATTTTCAACTCTGCAAAGCAACACTGTCAGTGCATTTTGCAGAACAATTTATGACTGAGGAGTGTTTTTGGCAGTAAATGAGCAGCTCCTTTTAAGTCCCCTAAAAGCTTTGCTGTCATGATGAGAGGCAGTCAAGTAAAGCTCCACAGCGATGCTGGCAAACCAGGAAAATCACTGCAACCCAGAGCTTTCTCTAGACAGACCTAGAAATGTGCACTGTAATATAAAGAGAAGCTCGATGCAATGACTGAGTTCAGTGCGGGGTAAAATACCTTCTGACAACGCTTTAATCTACTGCAACACAACTCAATGATCACTTTTAGGTGCCTGGATTTTGTGAGTAAAGATGCTTTCGACTGATAAAGGTGATAAAATCAGACTTGAGTCGCTTCTTATTCGTCAGTGGCACTCTGCAGTGTCCTGTTGAGCACTTACTGCGAGAAGACAGTGCAGGAGGAGACGATATCACTGTTAAATATTTACGTCGCCTCCCACAGTGTGCTCAGGCATGACACACAACCTGAAACAGGCATTAAATGCAGCCATATTTCTCTCACACATGCCGCAGAGAGTAGTTCTGCAGGCAGCAAATGGATATGAATATGAAAAAAAAAAAAAAAAGATGTTGAAAGAACAAGAATCCTTTGTGATGGATTGCTTGAAAAATTGATGCAGCTCTCAAAGCTAGAAAGCTGGGGCTCTGCTAGAGTGGTCCTGAGCTGAGTACTTTGAGAGCAAAAGTCTGCCAATGGGACAGAAGTGCATCCCTCAGCTCGTTGACTGGGCAGTTTTGATAGCAACACCGACCAGCATCAGTTGGTCACTTCATCCTTACAAACCTGGTAACATCAGCATCACTCCAACCTGACAGCAGCGATCCGCATTTGTCAATTCGGGGATAAACAATTAAAAAAGATGACTTATAAATACAGGACGACCAGCTGTTATGGCTGTGCACGTGACAGCACTTCCTCCACTTTCTCTCTGGTCTACCCCAATGTGCAAAACAAGCTCCAGTCAACAACATGAATAATGCAGTTCTCCTCAAGAGTCCTGCTGAAGCACGTCAGCCTGCGTGACTGAGAACTGAACCACTCATTTCCTTGGCTGGGAAACACAATACTGCATTCGTCCAAAAAAAAAAAAAGAGCTCTTTACTGATCTGTCAGTCTGACGGGCTTCCTATTCACATGCAGGGATAAGTAACACAAAGACATAGCTTTCTGGGCTCAGTTGCACATAAGGTGAAATTATGTCAACACAAATAGTTTAAGACGAGTGAAATGTTATCTAGTAATAACCTGCCCTGTAGTGGGAGTTATCTTAAACCGGGTGGCCTGCAAGAGAGAGGTACGGAGATGGCTTGAGAGTGTGATACACACTTAAGACAAGGGATTGAGATGGACTGATCCCTTGCTCGTGGAGGATAAACTGACAAAAAAGCAAGCTGATTATTCAGAGATTAAGATATTTGCATTAAAATACGAGATGAGCCTCGGTCTCGGCTTAGCATAAAGGGGGGCAGGGGTTAAGATTAAAATTTGTGAGTAGATGCGAACAATGAATAATGGGGCAGTAAAATGAAGGCGGAAAAACAAGAGCACAATACGCTATGTATACAGACACTAATACATTGTGTTTGACAGCGCTGAGGGGCCTTAAAGCGAGCACGCATTCTGCTGTTTAAGTGGGCAGATGGACAAACAGACAGAAGCCTGGAGCATCAGGGTCATGCAGGGAGATGAGTGACTTCATCCGGAGCTCTCAGTTGTCAGCAGCACCTCACCCCACCTGGCAATGACTTACGTACTAATTAGGGGAGTCTCACCAAGAGCACAAAGACTGAGTGCTGCAGAGCAAACACAACCAAGGAACAAGTAAACCCCACAAGAGCAATATGTATGTTACATTTGTAGTTCATTATAACACCAATGCCTAGACATCACAATCTGTAGATGGATGGGTGGAGAATCAGAAAGCATATTAATATATCTTAATATATTGTCTGAGATTTTAGCTACTGGATGATTACTCAACAGCCATAAAAAAAAAAAAACTTCAACTGATGAACTGATGTAGCCTTGCTATATTTATTTGACTGTCAAATCTTAAGGAAATAACCCACCCAAAGCTTCATTTAAATATCATCTGCAGCCCTGCTTACATTGTCCATTTCAAGATTGACAATGTGATATTTGTTTGTTAACACAGTCCAGGTAAAGAGAAAAATGAGACTGCTGTAAACAGTTACTACGGTTTTTGACATTTGACACCTCGATGAGTGCAACGCCATGCAACGGCCTCGGATGGGGGAAAGTTTCCAACTACAGAGGCGACTTGATATTTTCACTGGAAAAGCCGCATAAACTGTTAGCCACAGCCCTGCCCCGCCGCTTTTTTTTTTAAGGGTTCAATAATTTAAACAGTACGCTTATGTAACCACAACACCTGCTAACTTATCTTGTTAAAAGAAACACACGCAAGCTAGCAGCGAGATCGTATGTCATGTGGTGACTGTCGGAATCTAGCTAGCTTAGCGGGCTAATGCTAGTTAGCCGCAACAAAAAAAAAATCGAGTTAGCACTTAGTATCTTGATAAAGACTGATTTTTCCAAACGTGTAAACTGTTTTAGCAAGCAGATAAGCGCACTCACTAGCCCTTCTAATTTATTCACAGTGTCGTCAGTACATACAAGCGAATTTAGTTGAAAATAAATTGGAGTTTACCAACTGCGCTCCTAACTAGCTCAACTAGCTTAGCATTTACCTTGTCGGAGTCGAGCTCGGGGTCAGCTTGGCTCAGTCTGTACAGAAATGATTTTGGATCTCGACACAGCGTCTGTCTCGTTGTTAAAAAATACGTCCCGCCGACATTGAGTCGAATCCATTTGGACGCCCCGACGCCAGCTGAAATGTTTCTCTCCGCCGGAGAATGGGCCAAACATCTCCGGTGAACGGAGCCGCTTGTCTCGGAGCTGTTCTCTGCCATCCCTCTCCTCGCCTCCTCCGCCCTCGCCTCGGCTCTGTCTGCGCGGCTGACAGGAAATATCGAAGCTGCAAGCCACTAACTTGGGGAGTCCACGATTCATGCAAAGCAGGCTGCCAGCTCCTCGGCCACTCCTACTTGAACCACTCCACCAGCGCTAACAGACACTTGCATAAATTATTCCAGAGAAAAAGAGGCCCTCCCCAGCGTGATCTCCTGACGCTTCAACATGGAGAATAAAGATCTCTTGATTCCGGGAGCCTGTAAATGTCAAAGCGGATGAAAATATACAAGTAGAATTTCTGGAGCTGGCCTGACAAAACACCTTCCATTATTACTTAATGCTTGCTACATACACATTTTTTAAAAAATTAAGTTTCACGACACAAAACCACTGATAATGGGCCGGTACTTTATTTACATGCTGCAAAATGTGAGATGCCATTGCCACTGAATGCTGCTGTTTTTTTTGTTTTTGCTGCTGTGTCATGGTTGTTAACAGAAGACAGGACACATGGCTTTATTTGTATGCCTAAATCCCTACATGCTTTAATTACTGGACTACCAAGCATTAAGTGGAAAATTCATCATTCAACATCTACTGACCTAGCGCACAAATAATCAGAGAGAGAATGAACAGATTCATTAAATTATCAGAATATGATTAAATCACTGAGCAAATAGAAAATGTATGATATAGTAAGAAAAAAGCTGTAAAATATTATAGTTTACAATAATTATTCACATTCAAAGGCTTTACATCTCAATACATACACAACATGGCCCCTGAACATGACTTCAATCCAAATATGATTCATATATTAGAATTTAAATAACACAGAATGAACTATAGGCTAAACAATAGCCATCAAATAACCTTATACAAGAATAAAAATACAAAAACTGTATCCTAATATCATTGCATTACTTGCTTCAGATTTTAATAATACATCATCTGTACATCACAGTTCTAGTCAGTTACAAGCCAGGTAGAGTATTCCATACACAATGTAACCGACTGCCATCGACTTGATTCAAACAATTTTTCTAACTAGAGCAAAACACTTTCTCTAGTGTTTCCTCGACTTTATAGACAGATACAGCAATTTCATCGGTTATTTGGATCAGATAGATATCCTTTAACTGACATCCAACCACATCGAGCCCTGGGCCCCAGGGCCGGAGGGTCCTATTCACCTATACTCCAGTCACACACTGCACACACAGACTCAGCTGAAGGAAGAGGACCTTTGGAAAGGACCTTAAGGTACTATGTCAAAAAATTAAAAGCATTATGATAATACATATTGCTAAAACAAGAGCACAAGTTAAATCAATCGCTTTAATTTCTATTGGGCCAAACATCAGAATGAAAACAAAAAAAACAAAAAAACAAAAATATAGATGGGCCGATGAGCCCGATGAGGCAGTTCTGCCATCTTGCCCAGGGACAACAGCGTTACTGTGATTGCTTCCGAGAATGATAGTATGTGTGTATGTATCTCTGTTGATGAAGGTTTTTTTTTTTTTGTTCAGCATGGGGTGGTCAGCACATAAGATTTTGTTTTCAATAGGACGTACTGAAGATGAGCCGACTATTCCACCGAAAAGGAAATTGAAGAATTCACACCACAAAGAAATAGCCAGTGAATGGTACAGAACAACCAAATCATCCAATAATATTCGCTATGGTTGCCAATGCAGTCAAAAATACCCACCTTTAAACTTGAATAAACTATATCTCCAGTGCCCTAGGAGAGAGAGAAGCGGACAAGGCTGAGCTACAAAACTGGCCATGCAGGAAAGATAAGCAAGTTATGATTAGGAAGTACAAGCTAGTGGCATGTTTACCCGCCCCCTGTTAGCAAAACATCCTCAGTAATGGCTATGGAAGGCTCACCCTTACAGAGACAGGTCTAGACCCATGTCTCACTGCAGACCGGCACTCTGCTTTGTTACATAGAGACCTTAATTGGACTGCAATAAGCAAGTACCAAGAGACTAAAAAAAAAGCAACTCAAATACCTGGGAATATTTGGGCTCTGACAAAAATATATATAGGATTTGAGTTTGGTAAACGTGTGAGACTGAATCGGTTTACAGTATCTGTTACAACTATAGAGTATATGCACTAAAAGTGGGGCTTGACTACAGCTTGCACGTACGATGTAGGATTAGGATATGGTTTAATTAAGATATCATGACAGGCTCTGGTTCACAAAAGCTAGATTTTGTGTTATCGTTGAAGCAGGAAACCAGTCCTTGCATTTGAGATAGTCCTAGCGGTACCCGAGCTTGTCACTCTACAAGACAAGCTTCGCCTTCTCTTCCCCCCCTGCAGAATGTACAAAAAGCAGATGTGCATGGTGGAAGTCTTATCATCCATACATGGAAAAATGCAATAGAAGCCTCACAGAGAGCACAAAGAACAAGCAAAGCAACCCTGAATCCAAAGTTGTATTTTTCCCATGGTTCTACTCAGGAAAACAAACAAGGTCTAGATGCCAGCGTCTCTAAGAGTTTGTTTACATTGCGGTGATGAAGGGCACTAAAGAGGGTGTTACTCTGCTCAGTGATTGGCCTCAGAGCTAAAGAGGAGTGGGCACAGGATGAACAGTGCTTCTATAGGCCAGGGTTTTGGTGCTTTTGATAGATCTTTCTCCACACTTCCTGGATCTTCTTGCACCATCTGTCTGCATTTCCGCTGGGGTCCATCAAATAGTATGTCCGGTTAGGCTGCAAACGTCACAGGACACACACACACAAATAAATATATTAAAAGGAGAAAACCACAAATGTGAAGAGATTCCCAACAGTAGACATGTAACAACATGGTGTGGGAGGAACATTTGCTGGACAGGCATCAGAGATAAATTATTGTGTACCGTGTGAACAAAGAACGTTTTGAAGTTCTTGGCCTCGGGGCGTAACTCGAAGGACCAAGGAATCTCCCCTTTCAGGACCCTGTTGACAGGATCCACGTAGTACAGGTGTGGTCCTTCAGTGAGAAGCAGCTGTCTCCGTCGAGCAAACAGACCCTGCAATGGAATGCACATGTCTCAAGACGCTATTTCGCCAACAGAGGGGGCTATGAGGCCAGTGAGACTTTCCACACTACAAGAGGGAATTCCCCTTTACTTCCTATAAGCCAGCAGTTGGAGCAATGTCATGGGAAGTGACTTCACTGATGTGGAGTCAGCTAATACAGGGAAACACCACACAGTCGAGCTGGCAGGAAAGCTTTCACCTACAACACAAGGTCTAATCTGGAAGGGTTCAAACTACTTTAGATTTTAAATATATAATGAACATAGAATCAAAACAACAAAGTAATGTGAGCGTGTAACACAGACCTTTCTTTTATCAACTGGGCCCATTTTCAGGATCAGGTTATTCTCAACAAACTGGTGCCTGTGTACATAAGCAACAGCAGATTACTGACATGCAAACATACAGTTTTTCTTTCAACAAACAAAAGTTTTAGTAGCCACATAAACAATTATGTATAAAATAACACTGTAATTATTCTTGGTTCAAAGCGACAACTTTGATTCAGGAATGGCTCAGATATAAATACAACACACATAGGTTTACAAGTTGAGGAAAGGGGTTTACCAGGGGTTTCCAGAGGTCTGTTTGTCCAGCAATAACCGCTTCTCTTCTTCAGTGAACTGCAAGTCCAGCTCAAAGGAGTTGTTGTCCAGGTCGTGGATGTACTGTTCAATGTTGCTGCTGGACCTCTGTGGGGGCGTGGATTCGTGCGGCGACAGGGAGTGCGATGAGCTGGATTGGGCCACTTGCATGTTGCTGAACTGGCTCAGGAGGTCATCGTACTGAGATTCATAATGACACAGGTAAAGCAAGAGAAAACACATAGTATTTGTAGACACATTTGGAGAATCTACACATTCAAACAAGGCATCACAGCTATCCCAAATAAGCAAAACAATGACCAAAAAAGAAAGAGAAACATAGACCATGATCAAATAGCTTACATTTCCATAGCAGTCCTCATCATCTTCAGACATAGCCGGCAAATAGGGTGTGAGTTTGGGGGGTGTCTGTAGGTGTAGGTCACTCCAGGAGATGGTGTCGAAGAAGGGGTGCCGCTTCAGCGGGTCGTACCCTCCCATCTCTTCACACCCAATCCTCCTGGAAGGGTCCAATGACTGATGGAAAAAACAGATACATGTGTTTTCATTCAGCAGAAACAGCACTGTGCCACACAGAAAGCTAATGTAAGTTATTAACCTCACTATAGATATCAAGAACACCAAATTGTATCCTACATATATCGTAGTGAGTTGACGACTTACCAAAAGCTGTTCAACGAGATCCTTGGCTTTGGGGAAAAATTTCTCTGGGAATTCATACTCCAGTTTTGTTATCTTCTGGAATATTAGGTACTCATTTCTATAACATGAAACACGAGTGACAAAGGACAAGGAAAATACACTGTTATGGTAAGTATGATAAGTGTATCACAAGTGAGATTTTGTTGCCGAGATGATCATTTGTCGCATGTGAAACAACCTTCAAGTACGTTATTACTCACCCAGCTCTGAACGGTGGTAAACCAGCCACCAGCTGATAGATAATACATCCCAAGGCCCACAGGTCCGAGCTAAAACACCAACAAAAAAGAGAAACAGTTGTAAAAACTGTGACGTCCACCCTTATCTGAATAACCTTAAAAATAACCTCCTTACCTCTTGCAGGCTGATTTCTCTGTTAGCAGCTCTGGAGACACATACTGCGCTGTTCCAACAAAGGAGTTCGCTCTCGCTGCAACACATCATGGGAAAAAAAAATGTAAAAAGACAAGTTTGTCCTGCTTAAATGCTCAGCTCATGACACTAATCTGCTTGTTATACTTTATCCTGAGAACCAAAATCAGGACTGTGGTTATACCTTGTCTACTGTCTGATGATAACTGTTTTGCTGTCCCAAAATCTGTTATCTGGATGTGCATTTCTTCACTCAGAAGAATATTTTCTGGTTTCAGATCTCTGAAATGAGAAAAGCACAATTGAACGCATGAGTAAAAACAAACACTTAACACTGACTGGAAATGATAGAAAGGAAAACCACAAAAAGGACAGGGCAAAAGAGTGACATCTTACCTGTGTATTATCCCCTTATTGTGTAAGTATTCTAGCGCACAAACTATTTCAGCTGAGTAGAATCTAGTACAGGTCTCATCAAATGAACCAATTTTGCGAATGTATTTCAGTAGCTCGCCATTCTTAGCGTAGCTGAGACCAAAATCTAAGAAAAGCTCGTTAAGGAACACACAGTAGTTTCATAAACACACAAAAACAGCAAAACATGTGGCAAGTTATTAAACGTTACTTGAAAAACAGAACTCGTTGAAAGGATACACAACTTCTCATCATCTTGAAATGTGAAGTAGAGCTTGACGAAGAATGGGTGATCTAGATTTGACATCAAATCCCTTTCTCTTTTCACGTACTGGGCTTTCTTCTCCTTCATAATATGGCGCTTCTCTAAAATCTTAACTGGAAGAGATAAAAGAAAACATCAGTAGAAGGACCCACAGTGCATTTTACAATTATGGCTAGAAAAGCGCATTCATCAAAAACTGTTGCATTATTACTTACTTGCATATTCTTTCCCTGTTACCTGCTCTCTTGCCAGGACAACCTTAGAGGAAAAAAAAACAAAACAGAAAAAGCATAACATGACATGTTAACAGCTTGTCAGACTCAGGAGAAAATTTAATAATTCTTTGGGCCCCATTTGTCAATTCGCCTTAAATGAACTGAGGATGACTCATCTACGTCCATTAATCAAAAGAATGCTAGCATGTAACAACATCTACCTAGGTATAATTCAAAAGCTAAGTGGAATGCAAGTTACATACCGTCGAGAAGGAGCCCTCTCCCAGTATCTTTCCAAATTTGAAGTCCTCTGGCTTCTTCTTGCGTGGCTGAGGGGCCTGGACGGCTGGCTGTGTGCGGAGGTCTGAGCCCGGGCTGCTGGCAGACGCTCCTACAGCACGAGCCTCTGAGCCTGAGCCCTCCATGCTGGGGCAATGGCTGCTGCTTGCGCCTGGGATAGCAAGTGGCGAGCAGGAGTCGGGGTGGTTTCTTACCATTGATGGATGCGAGCAGGAACAGATGACAACGCTGGGCTGAATGGGCACAACATCATACTGAAACAAGAGAGGGAGCATGGAGAATATAGCAGTCAGCAGGGCGATGCAGTTGTAGTTGTTTCTGTTTTTTAAATAAAAGCCACGTGCACATGTGGTTTAAATAGAGTATCTCCACTTGAGAAATATGGGGGAATAAAATAGTTTGTTGTAATGCACTCAAGAACTACTACTGGAAATGCATGATTCTCAATTTCACTGTGACTGTCAACTGGTATGTTGGCAAGTTAATTCCCAAGATATCCAGCAATCATACCAGTTTTAAAAACAACAAGTACTGTGAGGACAATTTCCAATATGAATTTCTAAAAAAATATTAGCTATGTAAGGAAAATGTAATGTTTTACTATTTAGCATTTTGAACAGTCATTGTTATTTATTTTAAATCATCGATTGTAGACAAACAGATTGAACAGCTGCTTGGTGACAGTACATCCTAATTCACATTTCCTCTGAATCCCTGGTAAAACAGTGTAACCCCTGAAACATTACCTCTCTAAAATAATGAGCGCTGCAGCAGACCGGTTAAATGATATAATATAATGTACTCCAAAGCCAGTAATTACCCAACCCATTTCTTAAGGAGTGTACATGATTCTACAAGTGAAAGGATTTTGATCACAAAGACACTCCACTTTCCACAGCTGTTTAATACAAATTACTGTTTCTGACACTGTTGGTAAGATATCATAACATAAAAGTACTATTTCAAGTGAGACCACTGGCAGAGCAAAGTCTAGCTTTGATAAAGACATGCAACTACTGAAGAAGCCGCTTCTGAGCCTGGTGGTCCCACCCTCGAATCTTCAAGTTGTAAAAACTATGACAAAGTTACTGCTTTCATGTGACAGCAGTACTACATACTACCATAACTGCGCTTAAGTCTTACCATTTGTATGTTCAGAATTAATTTGACATGGCAGCTAACGCACACAAATAGAGAAATACAACGACTGCCTGTTGAAGACTCGAGGATGGCACACAGCGACAGCTTGTGCTTTCCAACAATTTGTTTGGTGCTCCTACAAACAGCAGTTATTTATAACTTACTGAACTATTGTAACAATCAGTGTGTAGTTAGTTAGTTAGTTCAGTTGGCCTTAGCTTCTTCTCATTCAAAACCAAGGTGTGGCCATTTAGCTGCCTATTCCGGACTTGACTGGGTGGTTGTCAGCTGGCCATATAACTATCTACTCACTCATTACGATTAGTCAACCATGTAATGGTTGACAGAAAACGTCAGCTAACGATATCCTAACCCTGAGTACTCGGGTAACAACAGGCCTGTGCGAACTTTCTTTGCTAACTAACGCCTGCTAGCAAGCTAGCGTTAGCTCCTGCTGCCTTGTCAAATAATGCCGGCCATCACTGACAGTGAGTTACAAACTTAACGCTAACAGCCAGTCAATTAGCTAACGCTAGCAAACCAGGTAACATAAGTAACTTCAAAACCTGATGGTGTTTTCCACGTAACCTTACTTAATCGACCTCAAAGTTAGTGAGCTGGCGTTAATATCGAAATTTTGAAGTTGACGAGTTGACAATCGAACAGTTCAGAGTTACCCTAAAAACTATCTTCTATCGAAAGGTGGAACGCAATAAAGCTAATGTTTGCTCGCTAGCAAGCAGGAGCATCGTTCGAAAGCGCGAACCTGTTAAGCTAACATTAGCCAACAGTTACTGAGCAGCAGAAAACGGTCATACATCCTCTGAAACTACTATCAAGCACTGGTAGATGCTTCTCCGGGACCAAATAAGTCGAAGAACCTTTAACCAAGAATCAAGTTAGGTGTTGGGCAACCCCGATTAACGTAGCAAACACTGGGTGTTGTGTTAGCCAACATTAGCGAGCTAACGTTGCTAGTGAGTCGTAACGATCTTTTGCGGCTAGCACCGCTCTTCAAATGAAGGCCCGACATAACTATTTGTTACACAGCCACCACACTGTACATTTTGAGCACCGGCTTCGAACCGTTATTCACGTCAAAGTTGCAACACTTACCAGCTGACTTGTAGCTCTTGCCATGGGAGTTTTCCACGAGTATTTATTTGGAATAAAATAATTAGAGAAGCTCCAGTAATGGCTGCCTCTGCGCCTTCATTTTCGAGCTGTGACGTCGTTCCACAACAATGTTACCGCAGGACAGCAGAGGAGAGTCCCGCTGTGTCCGCCCCCTCCGCACATTAACAACCTACTGAACTTCATCTCACTGATAGCACCGGAGGCACACGGCAGCAGTTGTTGATATTCAAATACCGCAGTAGACGTGGCCTACAAACTATCTTTGCTCCACTCTGTTTTAGTTGACTAACAGTGCATCGCAGAGAGGCCCATCTACAGGTCCTTTATTCATGTCTGGCTCAACTTTAGGGAGAAAGAAGTCTAAACTCACACCGTGATCCATCAGAGCATGTGGATCCAACTTTGTATATTCCAACATGAATCTTACATTGAATGCAGATATGGATTAGTTTAGTCACATAAAATAGCAATTTATTGTTTCATTTTTATATATACTTTAGTTTACAAAGTCAGAACTTTTTTTTGTTTATATGAAAGACTCTGGTGTCAAAAAACAGTTTTGTCAGTCCTTGTATCAAAAGGATCCATCGTTAAAATCTGCTTTATTGTGAAGTCTTTCAGTCAGTCTTCTTCCTCTTCTTCTTCTTCATCATGATGTGAGACTGCTTTTGACTCATCGTTGCTTTCTGGTTTTTCATCCTCTGCTTCGTCTTCGTCATCCTCCGAGGTGTCTGCATCCTCGCTCGAATCATCATCTTCAGGTGGACTAAATACAGAAATGACAATTTCATAACTCCAGTGAACATCCTCGGTCATAGAAAACACATGAGGAAAGTATATTTTAAGGAAATCCCGTGTTTTCCACAGCACCATCGGCTAATGGATTTTTGGTGACTTTCACTCCATATAAACATTCTACTAGAAAGCAAATGTAATTAATTATGAATAACTGACATCACTGCAATACCTTATTGGTACTTATAATTAATTTATCAATATGTGCATCACTACAAGGTTTGCCAATAAACAGTCCTCCTGAGGGATTACCTCACTCTCACTATATATTTAATGCCTTCATGAGTATTAAATGCTTACCAAGGACGTCTGTTGAGGTTCATACATTCGACTCCAGAGTTAACATCAAACGGGTCTGTGAAGAAAACAGACGAGCAGCTTTCATAAAAAGGAAAATTCGCTTCAACAATACGAGTTTTAAGTCGGCAACAAAACACAAATTTTCCGACATTTTCAAACAATTAGCCTCCATCCAGATTTCTGACTCACCGCCCACATTTCAGACGTCTTCAGAGATTCAAATCGAATACGTCAAAATTAAATTAACAAAGTTAAGCAACATGACAATTCAGCCTGATTATCTGGCCAGGAAACTGTGCAATGAACACTGACGTCAGTGTTCATGGAATTATGAATCACTACTCAGTGACCTTTTTATATTACTCATTAGTAATTCTGAACGTTCACCATCTTAAGAATTATGTTTAAAAGTTTTATATCCCAAAGGAACATGAGACTCATGTTTCCCCCATAATAACTTATCAATGTGAGCAAATATAAATTAGAACAGAATTATTATACTTTTGTCCAGTTTCCCTAAAATGCAGCTTCGTCAGTTTTGAAAATGAGACTTTCTATAATTAAGTAGAACAAATGTGAACTACTTTCAGGCCACAAGTTGCACATGAAGTAAAACTAAAATAGGCACAGATGTATATGGACAATGTATTAGGAAAACACTCAATAGAACCCCAGTTTATATCGCCCCAATTTTACCAAATTCCTCCTCCTCTGGTTTCGACGTGAGAAACTCCTTCTCGACCGACAGCAGCTCTTCCTCTGACTGACATGCAGCGTAGCGTTCAAGAAGAACTTTATTGAGCTCCAGAAACACCGTCCCCCACTTGAATTTCTTCAACAAGAGCACTGCCAGTTCCTCAAACCCTGAAATATCAGATACAGTAGGTCACATTTTTACTGTCACAACATATAACAGGATAAGAAAAGCAGCCAGTAGGACAATGTGGAACGTAATTCCTGTATAACTAGAGCCAAACCCTTACCTACGATGCAGAATGTGGCAGCAAAAGCCTCAACACAAGATAGCTTGCAGGGCTTGCCGTAGTTGACGGGGTTTGCAGCTACGAGGTACGGCAGTAACCTGGGGTGAGCGCCGATCATCTTTTTGAAGGGCGTCTCCTCCAGTTTGGCCCACGAACAATCAATCACTGCCAGCCCATTTTGAGCCACGATCTCTCTGTACAGGAAAGTTCACGCAAAATGTTTTTATTCACATTTGATCACAGTAAGAGATTCAAAAATGCTTAAGTTTTATTATCACATACATCTAAATACCTCAGCTATTTTTTTTATTTTTTTTAATCAGACATAACAATTCTTAAAACCAAAATGTATCAAATAAATTATTAACTTAATGATCAAAAACATAATGTCTACATGAACAGTTACATGTGGCAGCTTATGGTTTGTTTAATGAATCATCATTTTGTGTTGCAAAAGTAAAAACCAACAGATTCTTTGAAGGCTAGCAGTGATTTTAGCGTGTGCGGTATACAAAGGGAACAACTCCACAAACCTGTCTGCTGGTGTCACATACTTCGTCCCCATTGGACTCAGTATGAGTCCGTTAAATCTCTGATTGAGGCGCAAGTTGCGCACAAAGCCCTTCCGCACCAACTTTCTGCCAGTACAACGTTTGGGATCGCAGTGACCCAACTCCCACATGGCAAGTGGACACGGCAGTTTCACCTGCTGGGCCTCGGCTCCCTCCTCGATGTGAAGGCTTGCTAAAAAAACACAGACATAAAGGAGAAAAAGTGCACATTATGATGTGAAAGTGAACAGCACTGTTTATCAAGTAACAAGCAAATAAAACTTTGCATTAGGGCTGAACATTTATTGCAATTGCAATTTAAAACAATGCATTTTGCAAATCACAACGGCTGCAATTTAGGATATATGAAGTGTGACTAATGGCTTATTGCTGTGATTTAATTGGACTTCTTTGGGCAGATTGAAATTTTCTAAAGTTGTTCCAGACTTGAACACTGTGATTCGACTGACATAAGTTTAGTCTTGTTATTTAATAGCTATACTTTGCACATTTTCAGTGCATCTGAACCAGTGTTTCATCTGTAGTGTCAATGTAGTGTCACAAATATGTGTTGGCCTCCTTGTGTGACAGTCACACTTCTGATGTTATCTTGTGTAGTAGTGCTCCATGACGTTTGGAAAAAAAATCAAGTTACTTTAAAAAATCCTGTCACAAATGAAATCGAAATGTCTATCAGAAAAATGGAAAGATTTGAAAGAAAAAGCAAGTGTTGCAAGTCAAATAAAGTGCAAGTGTTACTAAACAAATCAGAAGCAAGACAAATACAAGCAAATGTAGAAAATCAAATCTATGGCTTCAATCAACAATTATTCACCATTTACTTACTGTATAATATACAATAGCATGCATTATTAGACAGGGGTGTTCTTTCCATTAAACTACTGAACTTAGAATGTGGGTTAAATCAAGGTAATAAAGCCAACGTGTAAACAGCAGAAACATTTTAGCATCATTACCTTCAAAAGCAGTGTGCATTTCTTCTGTAAAGGCCTCTAAAGATTTCCCTTTCATTTTATGCCGTTTGTCTTTCCCTTTGTTGTCAGAGCGCACAAACTTCCCCTGTTTCTTCCGTCCCATGTTGCAAACCGTGTTCAGCTAGTTAGATCCTGCCAGATTAAAGGCTGCATTAAAACTAACCAGCATCTGTTGATGTGCTTCACCCTGACATTAGCTAGCTAGCTATGACACTGACACTAGTTTTACCAAACAGTATATCCCCCCCAAAAATTGTGTTTTACCTATGCGTACATATTTTAAACGCTCAAAAACGTGATTACAATCCAGCTAGTATTAGCATACGTCCCTCCTACATCACTTAAATATAATTTCAAATCTGGTTTAGTAGCTTTGGCTGTTTGTATCGTGGGAAGCACGTCGTAGTCTCATATGTGCAGAGCGCATGCTCACAGCTTATTTTCATCACGTGACTGGTCACCTGACGAAGAGCAGCCAAACAGGAAATGTAGCTACAAAACTAACCCGTTTAGAAAATAGTCTCTCAATAATCAAACATGCACTGTTTTTGCAAGGGAATACCTCGTTTAACACGACTGTGGATAATATATGTGTCTATTTTAAGTAAGTACTTACACACTGCGGCTATGTTTAGTATTTCTTATAGTAATGCTGCACATAACCAGCTGCGCCACATTGAGCTGTGCTGCTGGTTGTTATTGAATGGATGTCCATTTGTTTTAATACAGTTAATCATGGATTCGCCGGTAAAATGAAGATAGTTGAGGAGCCAAACACATTTGGGTACGTTAAGCAAAAACAATGTGTGACACAGTGTTCACCGTGTTGACATTAGTCCCCTCCTGATCGACTTTCTTTGTTTTTAGGTTGAACAATCCTTTGTTGTCCCAGGGAAGCAGACTACAGCCTAAAGTGACTCCCTCACCAGTATCTGGTAAAATAATCTGACACGATTTAAAGCCTGCATTTGATCAAACGTGTGTTTAGACGTTATAAAAGTAAAGGGGCAGTTGATGCTGACTGGAAGTTATTAAGGTTGTCTTTACCCACTTAAATCAACCACTGATCATACTAACGACAATGTCTTCCTCAAGGCCCACAACATCTTCAACGGCTTGCTGGAAAATGCTTCAGTCTCACAGAGTCAACGTAAGTATTTAGCATCACATAAATTATCCTGTGAGCACCATGTTTGTTTTTACAGTGACAGAAACTAACTAAATACAATATTTGATGTACTGTATTAAGTACTTTTTTAATGTCTTTATATTAAATACTCAGTGAGCATTTGAATTGAATTGAATTGAATTGAATGCAACTTAGAGCACTTTTATCTTAAGTCTCTTGTGTTTCTGCTGCTCTATACTTCCATTCGTCTACAGTTCTGAGACAAATATTGTGCTTTTTACTCCACCACATTTATGGACGATGTTAGATACTTTGCAGGGTACGTTTCATACTATAAAATAATAAACAAATAAACTATGATGTAATTTTATAGATTGAGACAAAACGTTGTTTATCCCTGTGGGGAAATACCCAAACCTCAAAGCAGATAAACGATATTAAGTGTTTAAATCACCTGTAGCAGTTCATTAAGAAATTATGACCACATTTATGCATCAATAGTTAGAATCCATTAATATGCTTTATTCTGAAATGTGCTGTTCTGCATACTTTACTTTTGGTGCTTTGAGGATATTTTGATACTAACACTTTTGTACTTTTTACTTAGTATAAATGTAATTACATGACTTTTTCTTGTAATATTGATTGCATGTTACACCATGAAAAACACAACAGCATGTTTGCCACTTTGCAGGTATAAATATGAATTCTGTCCGTTCCACAACATCACTCAACATGAGCAGTCGTTCAGGTGGAATGCCTACAGCGGGATACTGGGGTAAGAAGCTGCAGAAAACATTTCATTGGAACACTTTCATTGCAAATGTACAGTAAATATGTGAATGAAGCATCGTGTGTTCCTAACAGGATCTGGCAAGAGTGGGAAATGGCAAACAACACTTTCACAGGCATGTGGATGAGAGACGGCGATACTTGTGGAACCAGAAACAGAGAAACAAAGGTGCTCAAACACATCTGTTCACAGAATCTAGAAGTTCCTAGTGGTTTCCTTTAATGTCTGTTTCCTCTTTAATACAACAATAGTTAAATAACACTAACAGATGAATGGAACTCATCACAGTTTGGTTAACCCCCGTAAATTGTACAGCCACCCCCTAAAAACACCATCTCTATTAGTGGAAAGATTAATAAACACATGAAACCATAATTAAATCAGTAATACAACAAGAATATTTGTTTTGTAACTTGGTTCTCGTCATGGCTCTGCAGGTGATTATGGTCTGCAGTCCAAGTAGCAAGCTTGCTCAAGTCTCAGAGCCCAGTACCTGTGTGTACTCACTAACTTTTGAGACCCCACTTGTTTGTCATCCACACTCTCTGTTAGGTAAGACAAAAGAAACTTGTCTCAGTCTGCAGGGTCTGACAGAGTTGACTGGGATTTCTTATCATTTGTGTGTTCTTTTTAAGTGTATCCGACCCTGAGTGAGCAGCTACAGATGGAGTGGGATGAAGCAGAGCAGGCTCGCCATGAGGGCCTTATTACGGAGCAGGTGAGAAGGAGTTTGGCATTTTGAGAGATAACATAGCAGGACGCGCTTGATCTAGTGATAGATCCATTAATTAGTCGGCCAATTAATTGGGCAGATTATTTTAAGAAGATCAGCGCTGGCCGATTACCAGGATGGCTTACAGGGTCTGTATCGACTACTGGGGCCTGGATAGCTGCTGCAGCCAATAGGTCATTTTCCATAATGCATCCAGTTCTGAAAGCCTCGCCTCCAAGCAACACAGTTTGCTTAATGCAACTCTAAACGTCAATATGTTTACAGGACCAGTAATCGGAGACGCTGCTATCTGCTGATAAATGCTGTTGTTAGATGAACTAAAACTGTCTGTGTTCATACGTTTCGTTTTTTGATTCGCTGTGGACATTTATTTAGTTGATACATTTTTTATTTAAAATAAGTGTCCTACGAACAGACTGCAGACCTGCTGTTGTGCTATTAAATAGTAGTATGTTATCTACATGAAGAACAACATGACATTGGCATTACATATCAGCTGTTGACCATCCTGTTCTCTAAACATCTGCACTGGCCATTAAACTATGGTATCAGTCCACCACGAGCTTGTGCCACTTGCAAGATGACAAAATGTACTTGAGCACTTCTCTTAAATACTCAGAGTGATCCAGACATAGACATGCATTCCTTGTTCTGTTTGCACTGATTACAGTCAGGCCCATATGTCTTTGTCATGAAATAACAAGGATCCAGTCCAAATCCATGGTGGTGGGGCATAGGGGCAAAATTTGAAAAATGATGTTGTCCAAACATATGGATCCAACTGTAGTAGACATGATGGGAACTTATTTAAGCTCAGCTATGTTCTGAACTTTTAGCCCTTTTTAAGGTACTTGTTTTGTTGCTGTTTTCAGTCATTTGTCAAATAAATCTTGGTCACTGTGTGTGTTTGCTGCAGGGATACAACAATCTCTTGCGGGATATTTTTGAGGATGCCGGACTCCTGAAGAGCCACAAAGTGAAAGTCAAGCCGCCAGAGGTTGCAGCAGATTCAGAAAACCACAACTCTTTCCAGAAATGTACTGAGGTATATCATTTGTAAACAAAAAAGAACTATCTTAATACTAGACTAGAAATGGTGCATAAGAACTGTACGGTATTAGTCTGTGACATGTGACAGCAACTTGTTTATCATCTATTTTTCTGTAGGACTATCAAAAACAGAGGAAAGAGATCGAGAGACTGCGCGCTATCCTCACCCAACACAATATTCCTTTTGATTCAAAGCCAGGTAAGTAAAGTCAACCTGGCAGTCTGCACTCTTTAAGTTCTCTGCTGTTAGAAATAACATGCTTTTTTTGTGTGTAATATAATTTTCTGTATGTGACAGATGAAGCAAAAGGTACAGTGAGTGTGACAGTTAAGGATCAACACTTGAGAGGAGACAACGGCCTCTTTGATCAACAGTGAAAACCACCTGGACCAAGTTGCGATCTCCATTTAAAAGCACCTGACTGGACCTGAAGATTCTGATGACCAATCTGAGTAACAGACACTAAGTGGACAGTGCTGCTTTCACTGAGGCTGGAGGGACCACAGCTTAAATTCAACAAAGAAAAAGTGACATCGTTTTTGGATCACACTAACTTGTCAGACTTTGTAGACTTTTACTAGAGGAGTTGCAACACCCAGCAGCTCTCTCCAGGACTTTTAGGATGATGTTGTCATATATTCAAATTCTGTGTGCATGCACAATCTTGAGAAATAAAAATGGGTTTTGGAAGCAAAAAGTTGAAGCAATGCCCCAACTTTTGACTCTTTGGCACGTTCACATTCTTTACAGAACAAAACAGAGTCTCTAAAAAGTGCTTCAGGCAAAGATTTAAACCACATTTTCTTGTTTTCCCACAGTTTACAGTGGTGAAACTGGATGCTTTGTACCAAGTGTGAATCTGTACAGCGTACTTTAACAGAATTTCACTCAATAGCTTATTTTTTGAGTGTATGCAACCAAAAGGCTAAAGTGAAATTAAAAATAATTATGGTTTATGGGTTTAAATGCACAACTGAATCAGATTGCTTTGAAATTTAGTCAGTTAATAAAAAAAAATATACAAATCACATCACAAAACATTTAACCACATTACTTTAAGATTACTTCAAACTCAAAGATTGAAAATATTGCACCTTTTGTCATAAAAAAATAAATCAGGAAGCCACAAAATTTCAGGTTCCACAAATTATTTTTTCACCTTAAGCAACTCAAAACATTTTCAATTCAATTACAGTTTGCATATTTAGCATTTACAGTTAGTCAAATCAAATTGCCCTTACAAAAACTGTTCTGTTCTGACGTGATGTTGCTATTACTAAGAAATTGGAATTGGGAATTGCTGCTGCTTGAACCTTTCATCTTGACACTACTCTCTTTTCCTCGCCAAAAAGTGAAACACTGTCTAATAGACTGTGCACGTCAAGTTAGCTTTTTATGAGTTAACAGCAAACATTATTAAAAAATACTGTAAATTTACCATATTGTAAAGACGTATTCAAGTAGTCTTTGACAGTAAAACAAATATTGTTCAGATATAATCTAGACTGATAACAGGCACTTTCTTTTCGATATCTGATTACTTAATCCCACTTACATCCAATTTATTACTCCCCGACCCTGGCTGTACATGTATGGCTTGATACAGTGACAAAAAAGCGTTTAAATGTCCCCGTCCAACCACTGTATTAACCCCTAGAAATTATTCTTTGTGTTTCAAAGTCACATATTTAATTTTTTTCCTCCTTGACAATAATCCCTTCCTGCCGTGAAATGGTTTAGATGAAACTGTACCCTGTTGCTTCCTCTAGAATGTGCACATCTATGAAGTCCCCTCTTCTCTCCACTGACCCCTCCCTGCAGCTGAGGCACACCAGCTCACCCCGGACTCTGCTCAAGCACTGTAAAACTATTCTACACAACTTAATGGCAAGTTGTAATATTAGAGTAATTTATCCACATTTAAACTGGATATAGTCAAAGAAGGTCCCATTCAATGAGGACACTCAGGATCTTTCTGCGTGGAGTTTGCATGTTCTCTCCGTGCAGCGTGGGTTCTCTCTGGGTTCTCCGACTTCCTCCCACACAGTCCAAAAACATGCTGAGGTTAACTAGTGATTCTAAATTGTTTGTAGGTGTGAATGTGAGTGTGCTTGGTTGTCTGTCTCTAAGTGCAGCCCTGTGATAGACTGGTGACCTGTCCAGGGTGTCCTGGTGTATAGATCATGGATGGATGGAAGTCCCATTCTGCTAGTTAGCACAATTGGTTCCTCAGTTTATGTATGAAACCCTGGAAATCTGATTCTGTGTTTGAGAGACTTCACTGTATCAAGATAGAAAAGCTCAGCCATGATGCTGACAGCATATTTTGCTTTTCTAGCATATGGATTTTTTTTTTTTAAACAATGCAAATTGACCTGTTAACAAAAGAGCTACCTTGATTTTTACCAGAGGGTTCTTTAAGTGTGTTGGGTGTATTCATCTAGGTGGAGTCTACATATAGACTCTGTTTCCTTCCTGTATGTTTGTAACCTCTCTGTAACCTTCCCTTGATATTGCAGAAGCTGCTCTTTCTAATCTAGATCTTTACTCGTTTGTCACAGAGGGGAAGTGACCGCAGATCTATTGACACAAAACAACAACAATATATGAACAGTTTGTTAAAGTGCCAGTTAGATTATATCCACAGCAAACTGTTAGTTGAAATTAAGATTGTTAAGGAAGCAGATAAGCACAAATCTAAAATGCACAAGTATGGAACGTGAAGTACTGGTATGGATAATGCTGTTGTCACAAGTGAGTTATCAAAGAAAACCTGCTTATACCTGGAGAGGATAAGAAAAGCTGCTCACATCAGTGACTTCGCCGATTATGGGCCTCGACACGCACGAACATGTCAGAACTAGAAACATTCCAGAGACTTTTAACTCCACAAGTGTCTCAGCTTCCTGTTTCACCATCAGAGATTCACATATCTCCTCAACGATCTTTCCGTACTGGTAAAACTCAACTGACTTCTGAATTCTTACCACCTGGAGTTGGAAAGAGAAATGACAATCAGCTGCAATAACAGAGTTTAATTAAAACATGTGACTGGTGACTTAAACAAAAAAAGGACCATTCCAAAATAGTACATATAAAACAACTATTTAGTACAAGCCTGAGATCGGAGCTATAATTCAGTCCTCTGACCAACAAACAGTCTTTTTCTGATCGATTTTATGTCCTTCTGTAGCAGTTGGAGGTCAAGAAAACAGCTGGATGACTTCTCTGGCTCTGTGCGCCCTCTGCTGGACAGCTGCATCCTCCGGCGCTTGTCCTGACTCCTCCACCAGGGACAAGGCCTTCTGCACTGTTGTGTCCTTCGCAGCTCCACGAAGCCCCTCCAGGTACTGAAGCAGCACAGAGAACTTCTCATCTGGAATCTGGGAAGAAGTAAAAATGTCTTTTATCTTGGTTTTTTGGTCTATTTGCCTACATATTATTGTCATTTTTGGCATAAGGATGAGACAGGCATTAAAATACTCCCAGTTAGGAGAAACTAGACTTAAGTTCAAGACTTGTCTATGCAATTCCTGCAGTGAGATTGCCACTTTAGCCGTCCTCTGTCTGTCACTTGCAGCTGAACAGTTTAAGCTGAGTCGCTGGCTTTCCTTTGTACAAAGGAGCAGTTGAAGGTGTTGGAAAAGACCCTCTCTTAAGCCTCAGTACCTGTCTGTCAGGATTTACTCTCTTTTAGTGAGTATGCTTCCATAAGAATCCCGACAATCAGCTATCAACTATACCACGTGTTAAAAGAGACACAGAGTATTCCTACAATTTATTTAGAGTTTTAGGTCCATACGGTCCAGATCGAACAGACTCAGGAACAGCTTCTTCCCCAAAGCTGTCATCATACTCAACTTAAACCTGCACTGTAGTCACTTCTATGTATATCAATCTGCCTCACACTGGCGCAATAATAACCACCTCACTCTGTGCAATACCCAACTACCACTCTGCTATGGCAATTGTTTTTAAATCACGTTTTACATGGTTGTACAAAGTATTATAATGTATGTTTTTTCTGTCTAATCGTGTATGCTGCTGGTGCACCTCGGGAGCAGCTCTTTACATTTCATTGTACTTGTATCATGACAATAAAGACTTTTATTCTATTCTATTCTAGTTTAAAGAGGATACAATCACACCAAAGACCTTAAAGGAAATCCTCACCACTCGGCACCCAACTTGGTAATGCCCCCGAGCAGTTATTTTGGTCTAACAAGACCAAGCTCCTATCTAAATGAATGGGCAGAAAGCCATTACTGCAATTTTAATGAACACTGGGTCATAAAAACTGCATGTATAGACTCACAAGTCAAATCTGATAAAGATGTGCAATGGCGTTGCCCCAAAATAAGATTTAAAAAGCAGTTTTCCTGCACAGGTTGTATTTTTAACTATGCATTTGTAGTTTGGCAACACTGTGCTTGCATCAGTTCAACAAGCAGATGATTTGATTTTGGGTTGAAGGGCAGGACACATCATGTAAGTTATGCCATCTTTGGCGTTATCCATCCATCCATCCATCCATCCATCCATCCTCTATACACCGCTTAATCCTCACTAGGGTCGTGGGGGGGCTGGAGTCTATCCCAGCTGACTCAGGGTGAAGGCAGGGGACACCCTGGACCGGTCACCAGTCTATCACAGGGCCACACTTAGAGACAGACAACCAAGCACACTCACATTCACACCTACAGACAATTTAGAATCACCAATTAACCTCAACATGTTTTTGGACTGTAGGAGGTAGCCAGAGAACCCCGGAGAGAACCCACGCTGCACGGGGAGAACATGCAGACTCCACGCAGAAAGATCCCAACCGGGGATCGGTGCTAACCAGCCCTGTGTAGCAGCATGTTGAAATGAAAACATTTCTGAAGATTTTTTTTTCGCTTCACCCACTTTGTCTGAATGGTGTTTCTGTGACAAGCAGTGGAGGACTTTTTAGGTGTCAAAGTTAAAAAAATAGATAAAAATAGAGGGACAGAAGAGTAGCACAGATGTGAGCATCTCGTGTCAATGTCTTCTGAAGACAGTTCCATAATACTGGTTGGACAAAGATGACACAAATGAGTTAAAATTGTTTAGAGAAACTGAAATGAACTTACTGTAGATGTACACAACTTTCCCTATGCATGTAATTTCATTTGTGAATGCAGATGAGAGTGGTGTTAACCCACTAACCACTGCTGCACACATGAGTCTGAGGTTAGTATCTCCAGCTTAAACCTCAGCTCAGACACCTCCCACCATCAAGCGACAACACCAGTTTAATTTTACCTTCTCAGAGTCGAACATGTGCTGCAGCAACCACGTCTGTCTGGTCTTCTGGAACTTCCACACTGAATGGTTTTCAGCCCAGCTGCAGAGACAAAAACAGTGTGGGTTGTGTGTGTGTGTGTGTAGGCTGCAGTTAACTTTTGTGAAAAATACACACTCTGTATACAGGGTGTCAAAACAACACTATGCACACATAATTCAACGCAATGGATCATCAGCAAATGCAACATTTCTGAATCTTATAATGCTCAACTCTTGTTGTAACATTCACTGTAATCTGTCCACTTATGTACATACAAACATACAGGAGACAGGACAAAATAAAAGAAACACGTTGAAGAGGTACCCCCAGCTGTTGTGGAAATTCAGCGAAGTCAAGAGAGGATGAGAAGGCCGACACAGACACACTGGAGACTCAGATGACTTGAAATAAGGTTTACTGATCTCGGGAGAAGTGACACCAACAGAGCAGCAGTTCATGCAAGCAATGCCAGCATCAATTCTGAGGATTCTCTCGTACCTTAGACCTTATACCATCCTTCGGTGGGAAATCATATCTAGATTTATGCAAGGGAAACAAGAAGATAGCTCGGCGCCTTCGTGCAATCTGGCCTTGAGAGACACAGGGAGTGCCTGCCTGTCCTCCTACAATACATCGACATGGGGTTAAGATCCTATAGAAGTAGGTTTGTAGACTGCTGTATATCCAACCAATGTTATAGGTTTTACAGCCTGATGTCATGCCATATCCATTTGGGGAGGTCAGGAAATGTGTAGGGGATAAAAGTTCAGTAACATCTTCAGAGGCTTAACTACAGATCTAGAAAAGGTCTAAATCAAAACAGCAGAGGCAGGCATATCTTGACTTTTACAAGGAAGGTGTGATCAAAAAATTCCACAAGTTCTGATCACACTGCACCTCTGCCTTAAAAAATACTGGCTCCTACACTTCTCATAATGCAATCTGATAGCAACTTGGAGACAGTGTGGATCTAAGAAGTGACAGGCAGGAGGTCATCGTGCTGATTCGACTTCCCTTTACTCAACAACAGTGGTTCTTACCATGTGAGGTAATCCAGTGCCTGCTGAGAGGCGCTTGGTCCTGATGTTTCAGTGCTCTCCGTCTTTCCCTCTGCTTTAAGCCTCTTCTTCTCTTCCTTTTTCAGAATCTTCTTCATTTTCCTTTCCAGGACTCGTTTCTCCTCTGGGCTCAAGTCCTCCTCTCCCTCCAGCTCACGTGTCCCCTCAGGCTGACCGGGTGGATCTGAAATCTGTCCCAGCAAAGCAAAATAGAGCCACATCAGAGTTATATATGTGTGTATATATATATATGTTAACACGTCTTACTTTTTCATCCTGAAACAACTCAACATGGACTGTGGGGAAAATTTTGATCACAGATTAGATCACAGTTAGTCTTAGCCCTAATATTTAAATTAGTCAGGTACACTTGTATTATATATAATACTGTAAGGTCATAACCATAAAATGTAATCAGGTAAACCTGCACAGTAAATTATATTCTCGGTTCAGAATCTTAATATTTTAATTTGTCCTGTTAATCTTATTTCTTTTTCCAAAGCAAATAATCACCTCTTGATTTGAGTGTGCCATATAAACAGCAGTGACTTGGCTTCCCTTTGCAAGTTACTTAATACCAATTTTTGTCAATTTTCTGACGTGTTTAATGGGTGATTTCTACTAAACACAGAACAAATATGGCATTTTGTTGTGCCACTGCATAAAAGACAAGTAAAACCGAAATGCATGTTAAGGTTTGAATCACATCCTGCTGCTCTGCAGCAAAGAGAGGTGTTTCCTGTATTGAAACTCTTACGAGGTCACCGTCACACGCAATTATTGGGCAGTGCATTGAAAGCACTCACACCGACTTACCCACAGCACTGTTCAAAAATAACCACCTGTTGAAGTGAGCTTTGTGTCAGCCTCAAAATTCTTTTGCATCACAGAAATGCTCCAACAGAGAAAAAGGAAATAATAATAGTAATTTTTCACTCGGTATTTGGTGCAATTTGGGTGAAATTTGTCATTTATCAGCACAATAATTGATGCTTTGAAAAAGGAGTCATTAAAAGCTGCCCCGAGGAGAACTGCTGCATGAAATTAAAGTCGCTTCCATGCTAGAAACTGTAACCACAGCACAACTTCCAGACTGTCTTTTCTCGCAGGCACTCAGGGGAAGTTAAACAAGGGACACAGTATGCTCTCTGATTTAACGGACCTCAGTCACGGTGATGAAAAAAAAAAAAGAGGGAGGGGAGGAAAAGATTTTGATCACATGGCCACGAAGTCATTCTAAAAGTATGCTGCCAGCGTATTGCCCACAGAAATATATAAACCGTTGAGAGTGAGCGGCCGTGTCTACGCAACGAGCATCATTTTCAGAGCTTTGAGTCAATCGGCAGCATCGGGCTGGTGGATACAAAACAGACGAGCGGGTGACGAAAGCAAAAATGGTAAGTGGAAACATGTGTGAGCAGGCAGTTCCTCAAAGGGGAGCAGACAAAGAGTTGCCACCAGAGACGTGGTCGCAGAAAAGAGTTTAGAAAGAATACATGTGTTCAATGTAATCAGCACTATGTTTAATTTTCAGAGACCTAAAACAATGACCTCCAGTTCAGCTGAAAAGTTTGCTCGACTTTTGATTATGACCGATGTTAATTTAGGAAAGAAGTGCATGTTGTAAGAGCGTGTTCCTGTGGAAAGTCCATAGAGTGATTCATTGGCTGAGCAACAGTAAACACTGATTAAAATGTCTGTCAAACAGCTGACAAATGACGACCAAGGTTAGTTTGAACAGTGTGTTTCTGGTTGTTTTGTGCAGTCATGGATCTGCTGATTTACCGAACCAAGACAATCTGAATGTAGCTGACTAAATTGTTTCATTCTCCCAATAAGAGGAAATGCTTGCTGAGAACTCATCGCTGGGTGTTTTGTGTTTTCATTTCCAGCCGAATCAAACCACGGAACTGTCCCCCACCCAAGGGAGTACCGTGCTTTCATTTTCTGACAGCTCTACCGTCATCAGCTCCACCATCACGGGCACCTCCACCTCAAGAAGTTCTTCGTCCCCTGACGTTTTTGACATTATTGCAGCCAATGACATCATCTCCAGAGCAAACTACGTCTACAGCTTCATCACCGCCCTGGGCTTCTTGGCAGGCTGCTTCCTGCTCTACAGCTTCATCCAGACATACAGGGCCCACAGGCGGCTGGCGTGGCTCGACTGTCTCCTCTGGGTCTTCTGCGGCTTGCAGCTGCTGCTCCTGCTCCTCTCGCTCCACATCGCGGCCTACAGACCCCACTACCTGAAGACCACAGCTTTGGGTTGTGCTGCTCTCTCCTTCACCATCAACACGGTGTCTCTGTGCGGCCTGCTGGTCTTGGTGCTCATGGCGTACGTCCTCACTCTTGATCCGCCCTCCCACGCCCTGCTGAGGAAGCCTGGGGTCTGCGCGGCGCTGGTGATCCTGACTTCTGCGCTGATCTCCCTGGTGCTGGCTGTGATTCGTGGACCGCCTGACGGTCTGCATAGAGTGAGCAACTGTTTTATGGACCCCATCAGTGCTGGAGCTTCATATGCAGCTGCCAGACTGTGCATGGCTTTTCTGATTCCCTACATCCTCCAACTGGGCCTTCTGATAAGTGGCTGTGTCCGGCAGTGGAAGTCTAAAGGACGCTTCCTCTCCGGCTCTGAGGAGGGTCCCGTGTTCCTCACGGTCACCGTGATTATGTTTTTCTGCCTGCTGTTCTACAGCGTGGCGCTGCTGAGAGGAGCTCAGCCTGAAAGCGGGAAGATGCTGAGCGAGCACGAGCGAGTGTTTCTGAGCGTGGCCGAGCTGGTGCTGTTCTCAGGGAGCAGCGTCAGCCTGCTGCTCGTGCTCTTCATGCACCGGCCTTGTCGAGAGAGCCTCCACGGGGTTATGAGGCAGCTGAGGGACTGCTGTCGAAGCCCAGGGCGCACGCAGCCCAACAGAAACATCATCGCGCCACACATCGAGATCACAGACACCTTGCAGGACATAGAGTCGTAGAGGACAAAAACTCCCTCATGTACAAGGACAGAGCTTTCTGATGCGTCAAACTGAAGACTTTGGAGATCTCACATAGTCGAGATATTGTTAAGCTATCCTTAAAATGCCTTTTGACTATGTTAATGTATTTACAGTCATGCATTTTAATTTCTCTGCAGAAAGTTTTCTAATCTTTTTTTTTTTTTAACATCTACAATAAATAAATAAATAAATGCTGTGCAACATGTGGCCACGGTGCTTATTGTTACTTCTAATTTGTATATGCAGCAGTTGTGAACCAACAGCTTGAATATGGACTTATAGGTGGTAGTAGGTAAGATCTTGTATCTATTAGACCTGTTCTTGGAAACACACACTGTTTGCATAAACCTGATTAGCACAATAGTCCATTTAGACAAAAAACGCCTGGAAAAACTTCTGCAGCTCCCAAAATGCCACATAGGAAACATTTAGTCAAGGAAAATAAAAGTCAGATTCTAAGTTTAGGGCAACAGTCTACAACCTTTACGTAATTATTTTTCAAACGCTGTTAAAGAAGCAGAAAACTGTACCAGTGAACCTTCCAAGAAATTGGTGGGCACCAGTTCTAGGAATTACTGACCTGCATGGATAATATACTGCAGCAGTGCCAACACAGAGTGGCACAGAACCAAAGGCCAGCAAGAATATTAATGCAGGAACAGGGTTGCATAAGAGGCAGGTGTCATGTTAAAAAGTCACATTCACACTTAATAACATCACAGCACCACAAAAAAGAGCCTGAAAACCAAACCAAAAAGCCACAAACAACTACAGAAAGTGTCTTTAAGGAGCTTGAAGGATGTAAAGATGACGAGAGACTGTCTCCGTCTGTTGTTCATCTTGTTTTGTGTAAATATGATGTTAGTGTGTCATTAAAACGTCTCCTGACGCCCATATTTACACATTTCAACTTTATACAATTCCAGCTGGGTTCACCCACTTCAGAGAAAACGTTGTCCTTACCTAACCTTATTATAAAAGCAATAAAATATACTCATAAAATGTACAGTGGCTGTTCAATATGACCAATTATTCTTTTTCTAAGCAACTACAGAAAACATTTAATCACTATCTTCGTAATGTTTGGCCAAAAAGATGTGATTTGTGCACACACCTGCCTTGTGTGTTTGTGTTTCCTGTTGTACATGGTGGGCGGCTTTATGACACAGTTTTGAAATGACTCATTTCGTAGTCATGACCGAGGGACAGGGACGATCGTAGAGACAGCACGAGGTAAGTTTAGACTATTTCATATAATGTCCTACACAAATTAAGTTATTTAGAGCAAAGTCACTGTATTTGTTAAATATACAATAAATGTGTTCAGCAGCGGTTACCAACAACAGAATAACAGCTTTTGGGGTATTTTATTTCTTAGATAATTAAAAGTGGAGAATTATCAAGAAAAAAAAAAGCAGTGAGAAACTGGACTAATGTGCAACACAGGACTGGACTCACATCAGAGATCATGATTGGCCCCGTAAACCTCGGGATCACCACAATTGTCATTTTCTATGCTCATAATATTCAAGAAACGTTCTAAACTTACAGCACTCAAAAGAAACGTGCACCTTTACTCTACAGGAGATTTTCTTGATGTTCACCCCAACATCATTTTTAAAACGGCAGCAAATTTGACCTATATTTTTAGTAGAAACAAGTACAGAGGCAGTAAACAACAGGGAACTGTATGTAGGTTTGTAGCATATTATATTTGATTGACATGATGCGTGACAACGTATGCTCACCATGTTTCCACAGTAATACTTAAATGATGCATATTGAGTGTTACTAAATGTATTGTTATGAACTGACAATGTGTGCAGACCTCCTTGAAGTCTACACCAAGTCGAGTGGTGGAGAAAGTATTCAGATCATTTACTGAAGCAAAAGAACTAACAGCACACAGTAATAATACTCTGTTACCAGTAAAAGTCCAACATTTAAAATGTTATTCAAGTAACAATAATATGTAAGAGTAATTAGGATAATGTAGTTAAAGCATTAAACTGTAAAAATGTCTCCTGTGATTGCTGTACTATAATACATGATATAATTTGATTATTATTATTCATTTATTGAGGCAAAAGTGGGATTTTGTTGGTGTAGCTGGTTCATTATAAAGCTCATTTTTCACCATGGTTATCGCTGCTAATTATTTTCTTAAATAATCAATGGTTTTGTTTGTAAAAATTCTAAAAATAGTGAAAAATGCTGTCAAAGTTATCCACAGTGACACATTTATACTCCCTGTTTTTCCCCAATCAACCATCAAAAGCTCAAAATATACAAAATTATTAAAAGGGAAAAGCAACAAATGTTCACATTTGTGAAACTGACAATTTTTTTTTTTACAGGGAACATTACTAATTAGAGATAATTAGGAATATAGTTGCCAAATAATTTTCTGTCAATCTATTAACGGAATCATTGGCTTATTGTTTCAGCTGCACTTTTCATATGGTTTGTGTGCAAAAATACTATTTTGTTAAGTAACTACAAATGTCAAATAAATGTAGTGAAGTAAAAAAAGTAGGACATTTCCTTCTGAAATGTAGTGGAGTATCATGAAAGGAAAACACTCAAGTAAAGTGTAAGTACCTGAAATTTGGACTTGTGTAAATGCTCCGAGCTGACTTCTACTAAATCTTAAGAGGCTGCAAACAAGCTGTTGACTTCCTTCATGTCTTCTCTCTTTCTAGAACAAATGGCAGCATCAGCTCCTCAATCTATCCAAGAAGCAACCAGTCTGCAAGAGAAACCCAATGGCACCACAGGGCCTAAGAACACTTGGAAAACCAAGAACTATTGCAGCTTAGTAGTTAAATACTGCTAAACTCAGTTGAGCACCAAAGTGTTCTACGGACATGACCATGCACTACAGAGTCATCGCCCAGAATAACTTCACTCTACACCCAAATGACACACAAACAGTCATCTCTGATTTTCTGCAGCCAGCTTCAGAAAATCATGAGAGTTACATCATCAGCCTCTTCCTCTCCGGCCTCTACACAATATTCTTCTTTCCCGTCGGCTTCATTGGGAACATCCTCATCCTCGTGGTCAACCTGGACCACAGGGGCAGCCTGACAGCCCCAGACCTCTACTTTGTGAACCTGGCCGTGGCCGACCTCGCTCTGGTGGCCGACTCCCTGATCGAGGTGTTCAACCTGAAGCAGGGCTACTACGACAAGGCCGCCCTCTGCACCTTCATGAACCTTTTCCAGCAGGTCAACATGTACAGCAGTGTTTTCTTCTTGACCTGGATGAGCTTCGACCGGTTCGTGGCGCTGACCAGCACCGTTGGTCGCAGCATGCCACGTGCCCGCCTCAGCTGCTGCCTCATCTGGGTGTCCGCCTCTGTGCTCACCGTGCTGCCTTTTGCTGTAGCCCAAATGCAGCACGCTGGTGAGCTGCACTTCTGCTTCGCCAACGTGACCCAGATTCAGTGGCTGGAGGTGATGCTGGGATTCTTGCTGCCTTTCTGCATCCTGGGCCTGTGCTACTGGAGGATTGCACAGGTGCTCCGACGCAGCCAGAGGGAACAAGAAAGCCCGCAGCGGAGGCCTCGCAGGCAGAAAGCCCTGCGAATGATCTCCGCAGCTGTGTTAGTTTTCTTCCTCTGCTGGCTCCCGGAGAACGTGTTTGTTAGTGTTCACCTCCTGAGAGGCGACGCAGACGGCGGCACACTGTGGCAGGACTACCCCCTGACAGGCCATGCTGTCAGGCTGGCAGCCTTCTCCAACAGCTGCCTGAACCCGCTCATCTACGGCTTCCTCGGGGAAACCTTTCAGAAAAAACTGAGGCTTTTTCTCCTGGGGAGGAGCAGATGGTCCAAACTGCACAGGTCAGCCTCAGGAAAACTCATCTCTGTACCAGCTGCACGGAATTGCCTCCATGTAACATGCGACAGAGCAAACCAGTCCACATATTTGAGCTCTAATATTCCTCCACAAACTGTTATACTCCCCTCAAATAAACCGCAGACAAAAGGAAACACAAATCCCACTTGACAAATATCTGTGCCATGAGATTGAAGACTGTGATTATTAATGGACAATATAAAACTAAAGACTTCCAGTGCTCTAAAAACATTACATCAGTTGTTTTTGAAACACAAATTCAGATTTTTGATATAAAATCTGATAAATTTGTGTCATATAAATGAACGACTGACTGCCTTAAACTGTGCTTTCAAAACCTTTTCACCCGTTGTCAAATGAATACATACTGCCATATATAAGATGAAGTCATTACCAGCATTAGTAAAGAGTTTTCTGTATGTAGCACTAAAAATTAAAAATCTGACTTCAGCTGACTGCTCACAAGAAACAGCAGAAGAAAATCACAAAAGCTTTTTTTACAACGATGCATTTTCAGCAGTTAATGTTCTCACCTGAGTTTGCTTCGTCTGTTCTTGCTCTGTCATCCGTTTCTTTTTCTGTTTTTTGTCCTTTTTCTGTTTTTTATCATCCGCTGTGATTGTTTCAAGAGGAATCTGTACTGGAGGCTCCTGGATGAAATAAAGGGTCATTATTTTTGAGTGCTTTCTGGTGGTGTCATTAAAAAAAAAGGGTTCAGAGTAATGAGGAACATTTCTAGTGCAGTACTCACCTCTACTTCCATCTTTTTCCTCTTCTTTTTTACTTTAGTATCCATTATTTCTTGAGGGGGGACTTCACTGTCATTTGAAGCCAACTTCTTCCTTTTAGGAACATTTGATTCTGATTTTATAGATTTGTCCTTGGCCATGAGATCGATCAGTCCTTCAGACAAAAACCAAATGTGTGTGTTAGTGAAGAAGAGCACACAGATATACTGTATAAAGTAAAGAATGGAGAGACAGCAAGACTTAAAAAACGAATTTGTCCTTTTAAGTGCTAAACATTTTTAAATTGGCCCAAACAAATACAACACACTGATCTGTAGTAGACCTAAACATGAAAATCCAGCTGTTAACTGCATCCAAATGTCTCTATTCTCATTCTTATCTTACTAGACTCGTTAGTTTGAGGAATAAATATCTACAGAAACAACAATAACATTAATTTAACCCCGTGTACCACTGTTTTGCCTGCTTAGACATAAAAATGACACATCACATAAACTCAAATATGCACAAAATGTTACTTTTGTCAACATATTCTGACATACCAACGTAAACTTACTGGAACTAAGAGCGAAACGTGCAGGAGCCTGGAAAGCACACAAGCATGGGAACCCAACCAGGAAGTAGCACAGCTCAGCTGAAGCCTGATTGGAGGAATATCTGAACGTGCTTTGTGATTGGTCGACGGGTGTAACGCTTTAACGACACCTCCGATAAAAACACATATTACTTAAGTGGTAAAATTACAATTAATATAAATTATGAGTTGCTTGGAAATCTTTAAAGGAAAGCAAATAAAGCAGCCCAGTATCGCAGCAATAAAATACCCAATATCACAAAAGATTAGGATGGTGGCACCGCATTAAAAGCGAGTTACATGTTTATGGCTAAATATGGCGTCATATTGAAGTTAGTTTAATATATGTAATAATAATAATAAAAATAATAATAATAATTAAACAAAATCGAGCGACACGTTTTGTAAAGTGACTTCCGTTTTCTCGATATATTACGGAACCATCCAAACTGGCGTCCCACAGTTACCCCGGATGGAATTCGGCGTTGCACAACGGTGTGTTACATGACCGCTTGGTTAGAAAACCTTTTGGTTTCTTTAACCTACCGTCGTGTACAGTAAACTGGCCAGTTGTTCGAGATGTCTACAACAGCAGGACGAGTTTTCAGCGGTGTGACGCGGCTGAGTTTCAGTCGAGGGATGTTTGTCCGGAACGCGACGACCACAGTGAGGTGAGTTTAAATCTGTGGAGTCACACGTTCTGTAAAGGAGGCTCAGGCTCAATGACAGGAGGATGTTAAACAGGAGAGAGCTTATAAACTGATCACAGGGTTGATGGATAAATGTTCCCAGAATACAATGTACAGTTCTAGATAACACCACATTATAGTATTTGCTTATTTTGCTCAGAGGACCCACATTCCTCCACTGACATGAACCCAATGAGCAAGTCTGTGGGATATCATGAGTTTTCATGACATACTGGACTGTAATTTATCACTAATCTAAAGTCAAATAACTGTGTTTCATAAGATCAGCTTTGTAATTTACTGTCAAAGAAGCAGCTTCAGGATTTGTTTTCAGGACTTTTCTAAAGATGACATCATGTCTGTGTCCTTAGTAACCCCTTGTTACTTAAAGGGGACACAGATTTATACAGATGTACAGTTTTTAAAAACTATTAAATCTGGACCGACACTGGACTTTTTGAGCTCATGCCACAATTACATTTTAGAGGTTTTAATAGAATCCAATTTTTCTTGATATTCCAGGTTTTGCTTTGTTTATTATAGTTACGTAAACATGTAACATGACTTTTTAATCCCTTGAATCTTAAAATGTTCTGTGTGCAACATTTTAGATAACCAACCACCACCACCTTCTACTTCTATTTTTTCCCCTTCCTTTTTACTATAGTATCAATTAGTTATTAATTATTTGTATATCTGTATCAATATCTATCTATGAAAAACTTGGATCACAAAATGTTCTGTGTAGGACCTTTTACATAATGAAGACACCTTCTCATTTACATCAAACATATCTTTGCCATTTCTTGCTTTTACTTAAGGGCCAACATGATGTAATCATCTGCATCTAGAAATAACCTATAGTTCAGGGTTGATCCTGTACAATTTCACCCTAAAAGTGCTTGTACACACCAGTCTCTATCATAGGCAGGGCTGAATGATCTTTTAAAAATATGTAAATGTGATTTTTCTGACACATATCGCAATGTGCAATAAAGTTTAATTTTTTTAAACATGATCATTACTACATAAGACGACATCAAAATATCAACTATTCTATATTTTAATACAAGATCGAGAACTTAAAAATATAAACTGCTTCAAACGTGTTTATTTTTTTACTTTTTTCTTTTTTTTTTTACATGGCATAGGACAACTATGGCCAAAGCTGTGGCCGTGTTAAGTTAATAAAAATAAAATAATAAATAAAATAACTCAAACCCTGTAAACAATCCCTGACATTAAAATCGGTAGCTCAGTGATAGCCGGGAAGCAAAATCTAAGTATTGCACGTCCTGAAGTCGAGTTCAATAAAGTAGTAAAAATAAAAAACACTCCCTTGGTCAGAGACGTTGCATAATGCATATCCTAGATTGGATTTCAACACGTGCATTTGCCAGTTCCAATAAACCATAAAAGAAGCAGAGGACTTTTGATGCTTTACTGTAATATATTTCATTCTACTTTGAATTGTCATCTGGTGCTGAAAGTTTGTGTTTTCTGCTGAAAAAGAGCAAACTGGAGCATTATTCACCAGAATGAAGGAAATTAAGGGATTAATGCTCTAAGTTTTTCTAGCAGAGAACCCCCAGAGCAAAAGTTAATGTATCCTCCAGAATAAAACATAAAGCCACAGACTCTGTCATAAATCCACTGAGCACTGCACAACAGCTATAGCATGGCCAGCGGGAGAAGAAGTATCCAGTTCCTTTACTCCAAGTAATGAAGCAATGTAAAGTTAATTACAAGTGTCTTGCATTCTTGATCTTAAGTATTCAAAGTAAACGCTCTCAATATATCCAAAGTATAAGTACCCAAGTGAAGTACAAGTACCCAAAAATAGTTTTTATGTACAGTACACTCTTAAAAAAAAAAAAAGCGCACTTTCCATCACTCAGTCTTAACTGATGCCTTTATTCCTTTTTGCTCAGGAGACTGGACAGTGTGCGGTCCCTAGCTCTAAGCGCTCAGATGTCAGCGAAGTCCAAAAGGCCCACAGATGAGGAAGAGGAGTTGGACGAGCCCTTGAAGTTCACCACCAGTCAGGCCAGTCACAGGACCTGGAAAGTCGATCGCTCCATGGGGAGCCATTATGAGCGGCCCTGGTGGAAAGTCTTCCCCATCAGCGTGGCCGTCTCAGGCTTCCTGTTGTGGTGTGCACTGAGAGACGAGACGGACGTTGATGTACAGCTGGAAAAGCAGCTGTTTGGGAATTTACCTGGTCTGCTTTCAGCTGAAGAGGAGGAGGAGGAGGAGTAGCATCAAGCTCAAAATAAATCAGCTTAACAAATGTGTATATATTTGGAAGTATATATATTTATTATCACTGTATGATTTCTGTGGACCAGGGGAATCAGTGATGCAGCCGTCCACCGCCACAGAATTATTTTTTTTTCAGCTGAAAGGACTTCTGGATTGTGTCAGGCCATGCGCTGCCTTTAACAAGCTTCAACATGTTGAATAAAAATGCCTTGATTAGAGCCACAGAGGTTGTTTTTTTTCCCCACAACTTATGAAACTACTTGACAGATTCTGCATTTGTCAACTGTAGTATTTTTTTGTATCTACATCTACATGCATTTAAGATGAGAAATTGGGGTGATGCAAGATCTTTATGGCCCAGCTACTGTTTAATTCCAACTTTAGAGAAGACCAACTTCATACAGTATTCCCTCGAGCATTTGGGGATTCATTTCCATATAAAAATACAAATACACAAGTCAGGCTGAGGTAGCGGAAAGTTTATTTACAGCACGACAAGAAATCCTATGACATGCACACACAGGATTAAAAAGGTACAGATTCTAAAATATATTTGCAAACCTGAGAAAGAAAGTGGAATATTCTGTTTGAGCATTTACAGATATGAAGCTCTAATCTACAGTGAATAGGACAGTGGAAGAGAAAGTCGAGTGAAATGAGAGATGTAGTACAAAAACATGCCTGAAACTACAAATGACAAAAATCAGGTGGCACACATGCTGGTAATAGTTCAAGATTTACAAAACAAACCCCAGTCAGTCCCACCCACCCCCCCACTAAAAAGATAAAACCCAAGTGAGCATTTTATGCACGTTCTCCTCTAATTCGCCTTGCCAGCTGGATGTCCTTGGGCATGATGGTGACCCTCTTTGCGTGAATGGCGCACAGGTTGGTGTCCTCAAACAGTCCCACCAAGTATGCCTCACTGGCCTCCTAAAATGGGGGAAAAAAAAAACAAAACACAAGTAGTGAGAAAGATGAATCACACCTGTTTTTAAGAAGACTGTATATATCAGTTACAGTTACCAAAAGAAAAATGTAATCTCACCTGAAGGGCGCCAATTGCTGCACTCTGGAAACGCAGATCTGTCTTGAAATCCTGAGCAATTTCCCTGACAAGACGCTGGAAAGGCAGCTTCCTGATGAGCAACTCAGTTGACTTCTGGTACCGACGGATCTCACGCAGAGCAACGGTACCAGGCCTACAAAGACAAAAGATAAGGCATCTTTAACACAGACGGACAGTGTACCTTACACTGGGTTAAAGCTTTCTGAAAATTAAACACAGGAGGAATTGCTAATACTCAATGTGCTGTGACATTGGCACCAATATTCTTAAACACAACATACTACAAAAATACAACAGGAAAACTAATATTTTCCTTTCCACAACCAACTACTGAGCCGGTGTTACCTGTATCTGTGGGGCTTCTTCACTCCACCAGTGGATGGCGCGCTTTTCCTGGCAGCTTTGGTGGCCAGCTGCTTCCTAGGCGCCTTTCCTCCGGTGGATTTACGAGCGGTCTGCTTGGTACGAGCCATTTCTCACCTGCAGGTCTGAAAAAACAAACAAAACGATCAAGTCAACAATAAATACTATACAATATCCGCAACGGTACACATGTGTCTACTTCATCAAACCACCTGATCTAAAGAGCGCTGACGCTCTGCGGTCTCACTAACGACACGGATGAGTCACATCCTCGTTAAAACGACACAATATAGCTGTTGTGCCATTATCGCTGTATGGAAACAGAAACAAAACTGTACCATTAAACGCGGCAACTCACCATAAATGAGCGAGGAGCTTCTTAATAAACAGAAACCACGTCTAAATCAGAAATTGTTTAAGTTCAATATAATCCGTGTTCAGATCTTTCCAAATCCTCGCCACCATTAAGCCACAGAGGACACACACGTTTCTTTGCTCGTCTATCGAGCAAATTTAAAGCTAGCATGGACGGTTGCAAAATGGCGCCAGCTAGCTACCACGGAGGCTTACGCCAATATGAAGACGCCGTTTCCCTAAAAACTAACAAAATACTCAGTCACACAAGTGAAATAAACTCTAAACGTGTGTTTTAAAAAGCATTTATTGCTACGAAAAGTTTGTACACGGTACATTAAATGTAGAAAACAGTTAGCTAGCTGCTATGGCGCGCACCGTTTTGTTGTCAATTGGTTGACGACTAACGCTTGACCGCATTTCAACGGCGGTAAATGTCGTCGAAATTAAATATTAATACACAGTTTATAACGACAAAAAATAAATATATATTAAAACACAAAGCTAACAGTAAACGCGCTGGCTTACCTTTTGTGTTTATTTTTCCGGGAACGTAGTGTCTCCTCCTTGCCTGTCACTTCACTGTGTCCTGCGGGGGGAGCAGGAGGCGGTATTTATAATGTGGGAGGAGGGGCGCTCTAAGTCCCGCCCCCCGGCACACACGATTGCTCCAGACTCAAACCCCTGACGACATGTGATTGGTGGAGGCCAAAGGAGGCTCTTCCTCTGCGTTTGAAGGAGCTCGGATCAAGAAGTACCTTATTTTAAAAATCAAGCATCGACACGATTTCATTCATGCAGCTGAAACTGCCTCCTCTTATCCCACGCAGTTGAGCCCTCAGCTTCTGGTCCTACAGCCTCGGGGGTTTTCAAATGTTTTTTCATAGCATGGTGCTCGCTGATCCTACCCTTTGTGAAGGTGGAGAAAAAAAAGCGGTACAACAGCCTTATAACAGCCTAAACTAAAACAGCAGATAAGTCATACACACAGATGTCAATGAGTTACTGAAATGTAGTTCAACTACCTACACACTTTACACTTATACAGAACACAACCCAGTTTTAACTGAAGAAAGAGAACCAAGCCATGTGCACTGTGCTGCACCAGTCTGAGCTGTAAAAAACAAATCTTTGTACCTTCACACATGGAAAGAGCCACAGGCCATTTGTGCGAACATCTAAGTTTGTACAAAACAAATCCAGCATTTTTGTGCAACTGACAGAACTTGGAGGGATCAACATTTGATCAGGCACAGAGTTGTGGGATCTTGTCAAGCATCACGTCAGGGAGACAAACAGTCTGGTCTTTGTGTCTGTTAAAAAAGGAGGGAAATGGATGCAAAGAGCACCCAGCAGCTTTGAAGACAGCCTGGTGACAAAGTCTTGTCTTTTAAATGACCCTTTGGTGTTGCTCCCCCATCAGTTTTATTAACATGGTGGTATCTTTTTACTTTACTGTTGCAACCGCTTTCTTAAACCTTGTACATTACACTTGCTCAGCTTCATTTGTTGTTATTATTATTATTATTATTATTATTATTATTATTATTATTATTATTATTACATACCATAAAGTGTATTTTTTGGCTGTAATTCTCATTTACTTTTTTTTGGCTTTCATTTACTTTTTTACAAATGAATCCACGGCAATATTTATCCCTGTTTTCTCATTTTTGTATATATATTTTTTCTATTTAGAAATTAAATCTAATTTTTAGATTTAATAACGAATGCACAGCAACATTTTTCCCTGTTTTCTGTTTTTTGTATTTTTTTTGTATTTATTTTGAAATTACATCTAATGTTCAGACCTATTTTCTTATTTCTCTTTTTATTGTCTACTTATTTATTTGTATATATTTTTATATGTGTGTGTGTATAAAAAATAAGATTAAAAAAAAGATAAAAACTTAAAGTCATCCCAGAAACTTTTCGCGTGCTTCATATATTTATTTATTTACGATAAAACACTCTTCTGTAATGAAATACACAATATGTGTGTCAATCCGCTCACTGGGTCACATGAACATCGCTAAGCGGAACTACATGTTGGTGTTGGGGGACACATTACCAGACGGACCTACTCTCGAGTGGTGGTAAGTTTATGGATGCGACATGGCTTGATGCAAAACAGGGAAATAGAAGAATTTAGTGTCAAACTTGTTCCGGTTTCAGTGACCATGTTTAAATCTCAGACGTGTCGAGTTAAATAATTCAGTCGAAGAGACGCGTTTCAGCTGAAAACCTGCAGCTCTGGAAGCATCAGCATGACCGAGCAGAGGCTGCTGTTTCTAGGTACAACACAACCACACTATGTGTTTAATGCCGCATAAACTACACACATTTCCTTCTAGCCGTTCTGCATGCATGTGTTTGGCCTGCTATCGTAAGAATTTGTTGTGGGTGTGGGTTTAAATTCATCTAGTGGAGTCTCTTTACTGATTTTATTCTATACAATATGTCAGTACTTGTTCAGGTTATAGTCAGTTACTTAAATGTCTGTTCACCTCATGTCTGTGTGTCTATGCTCACTCACCAGATATAGATACTGAAGCAATCAGCTCGACCCCTCCTGAAGGCCGAACTGAAAAGCCCCTCTGGACTCGCAGTGACAACACCTTCAGATTTAACTTCCTCGCCGACAACGTTCAGGAGAAAACATCTCCGTCAGACAGCGCTGAGCCAGCGGCAAGCCAGATATCCTTCACAGGACAGGGCTCTGATTTTACCTTCAACTTTCAAATCCCTGTTGCAGCGCCAGTGGAAGACATGGACACGACAGAGACGGCCGCTGACGCCTCTTCTTCAGGCAGCCAACGGGGTGTCCAAGAGGAAAAGCCTTCCCCTTTGCAGGAAAGTAACGCTGCATCTGTGCAATCAAAGTCAAAGAAGAAGAAGAAGAAATCTGGAAAGAAAAATCCATCTGGCACGGAGTCAACGCAGAAGCCAGACGAGGGGAGTCAAGGAGGTGGAGACGATGTAGAGCTGGTCAGTGTGAAGTGTTTTCTTTAATCCTTCTGAATCCTGTCTGCTGTAGGCTCATTTTTCACTGCTCTATGAAGTCCTGCAGCTCTTTGGAAGCAGCACAGCCATGAATAGAAGGTGGAGGAATCAGGTGGAAACTTGTAGTTTGTAGTTTGGGTTTGAAATCTATCTTTTGTGACACCAGTCCTGGAATTTTTCTGACACACCTCGTACTATTTTTGAGCCATGTTACACTTATATTAATAATCAAATCTGTAATATTGTTCTTCTGATCTTGCCCATCATCTCCTCCTTTCTCTTTTTAAACACAGCCCACAGTTAATATAAAATTCCTTGGAATTTTTGTCACATGACCGTTCACAGTTGAGTCACTGATGACTTCTTAGTTGCACTGAGTAGCCCAGAATTTTCTGGTTTTTTGTTTTGTTTTTTTTTTTTTCTCAGGATCTTGTACAAAAGGTTTATTTTTCCAAATGAGATATGTAAGGTACAGTGATTTTAATGAGTTATCTCAGTTTTAAATCTGTCTGAAAGTTGAAAATCCAAATATTCTTTGTTTTCTGTCTCTGATAATTGATGTAATTATGGTGATCAAAAAAACATAACATACCTTTCAAACCTGATGGTTTGTTTTGACGTTCAGAAGGGTAATTATGATGACCTCCCGCTAATTATTTCAATGAACGGATTTCATGTCTGACATGTGTTTCAGAGTGCAGAGGAGCAGCTGAACAGGCAGCTGGACTGGTGCATCGAGCAGCTGGAACTGGGATTGAAGTGCCAGAAGGGGACACCAAAACAGAGTCAGTGTGCTTTTTACCTCATACACCCAAAATGATTCTTGGCTGATCTGATCAGAAGTGAAAGCCTCTAAATACAAGCGTGAATGTAAAACATGAATCTGACGTGTTGCCGAGTTTGCCAAGAATTAGAACCACAGATGTTCCGTTAATGCTAAGTTATAAGCGGGGCCTCAACCTAAACGGGGCCACGTAGGCAGTTAAATGTGACAATGTTGATTTGCTTTTAGGTTTGACACCTTGAATATTTTCTCCCTGCAGAAGAAGAGGCTTCTCGTGCCCTGAAAACTCTGCGTAGCTCCAAAGCTCCTCTGGCCAAGAAGAGGCAGCTGATGAGAGCCATGACTGGAGACTACAGGAAGAAAATGGAAGAGGAGAAGAGCAAGCAGTTCAAACTCATTCAGAGCGGTGAGCGGATTGTAGCCGCGGGGCGATTTGATCAGTAAAAAATTGCGTATGTGGAAAAAAGTTTTATCTTTTAACTGTGAACGTGTCATAAATCGACAGATTTCTCTGTTCCCCACAGAAATTGCATCAGCTCAGGTCAAAGTTGTGTCAGATTCCCCAAAGAAGTCTGTCTTCCACCGGAGAGCTGAAGTGAAAAGCCAGACAGCAGCCGCAGAAGAGAACCTGCAGCAAACTTCGGTCCAGACTCAGGAGGAGACGACCGCTTTTGTCTTTACTCCATCAAAGGAGGAATTTTGCTTCAATTTTCTTTGATTTTTTTTTTCCAATTCTGAAGACAAATCTTTTACCATCAGCAGTATATTGGAAATAAGTGACACTTACCTGAACAGTGTGAACTGTGTGAGGGACGCTCTGGTGATGGAAATAATAAATTGCGTTTGAAGACATGGAGAAAATATATTGAATTCACAAGATTAATATTCAAAACCTTCCATTCTGTCTGTTCATAAAACATTTCTGAATAAAAATATGTATTTTAGTTTGATGTGTCTTTATTCTTTACCTGTAATAAAGTAGTTTTTACAAAAACATGATTTAAAACAGTTACACCAGATGATGAACTAAACTTTCATAATCTGAGTTTAAAGCAATTTCTGATTTTTGTAGTTTTCTTTATTGACACAATTGTCCACTATGAACTATATCCTGTGTGCCATCAGAAGCCTCTGAGGAAGAATAAAGTTCTTATTATCATATTGGAAATATCCAAACCCACCTTCCTTTTAAAGTGTTTGAATGATGTGAAGCTGTTTCTAAGCTTTAAAAAAACAACTTCTTAGGTAAATTTGTAAAATGAATCACATTACTTTACTAAGAAGCACATTTGCTCAATGTCTGTTTCTTTTAATGGTTTCTATACATATCAGTGGCTGAACTCTACTTTAAAAGCCTATCAGCTATTCCTCTCATGTTTGCATTCACACCCTGCAACACTGAACAAGCATTGCACATCCAAATACTGAATCCTTAAGCTTAAACGTCTATCTTGACTGTATATTACATAATTCTTAATATTTTCAGACTTATTCCATCACGTTGTATTCTACTTTACTAAACTAGTGTCTACCTGCCACGTTCATCTAAAGTGGCAATAACTCTCTATTAATTGTTAGTAAAATAGTGTTTATTCCTATATCATTTAACCATGCTTTTTCACACATATCTATAGATGTACATAGTACGTAAACCCTTTTTCCCCTTATTTAAACTGTTGCTCTTACTTAAATTTATGTGTTTTTGTTTAAGTATCTGAGAGCAAACAAGGAAACAGTCACATTCCTTGTTGTGTTTTTTAACATACTTGGCCAATAAAGCCGTTTCTGATCACAAAGTCTCTCCATACTTCAAACACTTAGATGTTTGAAGCAGCAAACCCAACAAAAAGTGAAGATTTAAAAATGATTTAGTAATGTTAACCCCTTAATAAAGCACAGGAACACAGAATAAGCTGTAAATGGTTCCTAACTCAACTTTTACTGCTTGTCACCTCTCAAAATGTTCTGTGTGAACAGTTCAATAACAGTAAATAGACATGAAAAAAAGAAAAACGTTAGATAACATTCAGTAGCACAAACTGTGTCTTCTTCAACCCTCTGATTTTTTTTTCTCAAGCGTCTCAGTCACTTTTGAACAGGAAAGGGCGGGGGGTGTTTCAACACGAGCCCAATTGAGTGTGACACTCAAAACACGAAAAGTTTCTGCTGCTGAAAAAAACGAACTACCTGCTGACTGTAAGTTTTTAACTCATTAATTTTATATACAGTGTTAACTATTAGTTTATTTGTGTTGTCGTTTGGCGAGTTTACTCATTTATTTATCGTTGTAGCTGACTGTGTGGTTGTCTAGAGGAGGAAAGTTGAAACCGTTATGTGGCTAAGCTAAACTAGCCTAAACAGCAAAGTTTAAAGTCAGCTGGAGCATTTAAGGTAATTAAATCAATCCTAGCTGACAAGTAAGAGTAGTTAAGAAGTATGTATTATATAGAAGCATTTATATGTTTGTTACGATTAAAATTGTTCCTTATAAAGTGTCTGTTGCTGCTTAGTAATGAGGTGACAGACATTAAGGTCGGTGCTTGTCGGGTTCCAGGTGTGTGGAGTCACCTGCGAACATGTCCGAGTTGAGCGATGAGGCCAGTGAGTCGGAGCAGCTGGGTGCCAGCCTCTCCGTGTGGCTGGGTGACTCCCTGGTGAGACCCGAGGAGCTGGATGTCCCTCTGGACCTGCACACCGCCTGCTCCATCGGCCAGTACGACGTGGTGGCTGAGTGCATTAAAAAGTGTGCACCTCTTATAGATCAACATGAGCAGGTGTTCTTGTTTCCTCCACAGCCCACATATATGGTTGTGTTTGTTTTTTTTTAGGCGTGAGGTGGATCTGAATGGTAAGAACATTGGAGGATGGACCCCGCTGATGTATGCAGCCTACATTGGCCATGACAACATTGCAAATCTGCTTCTTGAGGCTCGCGTGGATGTGAATGCCACCACGGCCAAAGGACTGACGCCCCTGATGCTGGCAGCGAGCTGCGGGAATGAAAGCATTGCATATTTTCTGCTGCTGGTACGAAACAAACCTGTTAATAATTTATAGAATATTTTGTAGCTGGACATGTGTGACAGTCTGTTTTATTTGTGAATGCAAGCTCACGTGTTATTTAAAAACCAAACCAAGCCAAAAACTCTACACAAACACTGTTCTTTCTATTCGTCTCCTATCTGCTCTGTGTAAACACAGCCTGCAGGTCAGACTTTTTGTTGGTCACAGTTGAATCAAACTTGGCTTTTCAGCTGTGTTGAGTAGTGCAGAAATTTACAGAATGTGGTTCAAGCTAACAGTTTACTTTTGGTGAAGTAAGATGTAGAATAACAGGATTTTTGATGAAGGACTAGAATTTTAACCTTACAGATAAATGGTGTAATTTTGATGATTAAAAAGAAAAAAACAAAAGGAAAACTTGCCTTTCAAAGTTGGAATTTCAGTCCTAAACAAGTATGCTGTATTGTTTAGATTTAGCTGAAATTTCAGTACGAACACTCTTCAGTGGTTTTTGATTGTTCTTTGTTGTTAACCGTAAAGCAAGGGGCCGAGTTGGAGCTGAAGGACTCTCGAGGCTGGACGGCTTTGTTCCACTGTACGAGCACAGGCCACCAACAGATGGTCAAGTTCCTGCTGGATAACAATGCTGACACCAATGTCAAGTGAGTGTCTGTATTCGAGGTAAAACCACAACACTAAGAATGGGTAAAGATTTGATTTTTTTCATGTTTTTTTGTCATCTACAGGGAGCCAGGGTCTGGATTCACTCCTCTGATGGAAGCTGCTGCGTCTGGACATGAAATTATTGTGCAGTACCTGCTTGATCATGTGAGTTGTTAACTGCTTAAAAACATTTTGCCGATAGGGAACATACCACATGGGGCTGAAATGCTCTTGACAGCTGATTCCTAAGTTGGACTCCTGGCTGGCTGGCCCTGCCCTACATTTTCTGTCCATCACCACTGAGCTATCTAAGATGGAGAGTCCCACAATTTACCCAAATTAATGCACATGCCCCTGAGGATGGCATTACAAAAGGAAAGAGCTCATTCTCCTGCTTACACACAGCTCATATCTTATGATAATAACAGCTGTTTTCTGCTAATATTATACAGAAAGTTAAAGTAGATGAACGCAACACTAAAGGAGAGAGTGCCCGTGCCCTGGCCATGATGTACGGCTATACCAAGATCGTCAGCCTCATTGACTCACGTTCTCCAAGACTAAAGCCAGGTTCTTATCTAATCATGTCATTTTTTCATTTTAACAAAATAAGCTATAGTTCTTTTTTGCCTTTTATTTTTTGATGGATGTTTCCAAACTTGTCAGGACACTTTGAAGACCTGAGCTCCTCTGAGGACTCGGACAGCGCACCCCCGAGGATAAGGCCGAGTCGAAACCGAGCCAAAGGAGTTAGCATCCATGATGGACCTCAGGCCATCGCCAAGTTCCGAGTAGGAGGCACCAGCAAACAGTGTGGTAGTGTCACATCAAATATCTAACCTGCATCTGTGCTGAGCCACGCTTTGTACATTGAGGTGGATCTAATTATGAAGTGAAATTATACAAAAGATTTAGATTCAATCAGACTGTGCATGAAGCAGGCTGATTGATGACAGTCCTCCTTGAATGCTGAAACATTTCATGACAGAAATGATGTCAAACGATTGCATTATTCTGTACAGTGGAATGCTTCCGTCTGTGACTAAAGTTGTCGGTTGGACAGAGGTTGTTAACGCTACTTTTGTCCTCTCAGAGCCTCCTGCTGCGCTGCCAGGCTTCATGACGTTTCGTGATATTGGTGAACAGAATGACGGCATCTGCTACCGCGACGTGACGTCACCTATTAACGAGCTGGACGGCCAAAGCAACAGCAGCAGAGGTGAGGGTTGTGTGACATCTGAAATACAGAACCAAAATAAGTCTTTGGGAAAAAGTCACCACAAGAAATACTACATATGGTGTGATCAGTGATTAAAGTAACGCCCTCTGGTATGCTGATGAGTTGCGCTGAAAGTCAGCCAAAGAAATCAATAATTTTTTTATATTGCCACAGATGACAGTCCGTTCTTTGACAACGACATGCCCACCATGAGAAGCAGCAGTAGCAGCAGCGAAGGCTTGTCTCATGTGATCGGCCTCAACTGGGAAGGCTCTGTGGAGAGTAATGAGGTGAACACAAGAGCCTGCAGTTTCAGACAATCAGCAGATTTTTAAATTTTTTTTTTTTAAATGTTGTGATCTACAATAGCACCTTTCTCCAGCAGGACTCTGACCAGTGCAAAAAGAGCAGCAGCTCCCGCAGATCAAATAAAGGTTATCACTCAAAAGGCAAGACTCGCCACGGAAGCAACGACGCAGCTCATTCCAGTGGGACAGGAAACTGTGGCTTATCCACACATGTCGGCTTCCCACCTTCCTACACTGGTCCAAAGGTATGCTCACTTTCTGATGTCAATTTGTGCAGATTTTATTGGTTTCTTGGCCTAAAGCCTCAAATTCTTGTAGGATTTGGCAGAGTTCTTGGAGCAAATTGGCTTCTCTAAGTATCTCCCGTTACTTGAAGAGCAAGACATCGACCTGCGGATATTTCTCACCCTGACAGAGAACGACCTCAAAGAAATAGGAATCACGTAAGAAACTTAAGACCATTCTTTCATATTTACTCAAGTACATGCAGTGTTTCTTTTTCTTTTAGAGAGGTGAAGCCCCAACCTATGTGTTCACAGTGACAGACAAGTCATTGTGTGATGAATTATAAATATATTATAAATATGTCCAATTAAAAGATAGTTTTGCAAGGCAATAAAGAAGCAGCTTATCGTGAAGATGTAGTTAAGCCCGATTTATTTTAATGTGAGACTGCTCAGTGTGCTACTTCTTGTCTCACACAATATAAGCCAACATCAATATGGGCAGTAACTTTCACCTTATTCTTCCAGAACAAAAATGATTTAGAGAGGTGAAAATCACAACAGGTCTGGCCATGTTGAGAGCGACACTCATGTGAATGCAGCAAATCTATCATCACAATTTTCAGTGGCTCTGAGTAGATTATAGAGACAAAAGGTTACACTGACATCTACTTGCAATATTGGAGTGTGTAGTCTAATCACAGTTTTACAGTTTCAACAGTTGTAAACAAAAAACTGTGACTGAGTTGCAAAAAATATTTCAAATGTGTAATTTACAGCACGATTCAAAAACGACCTTTCTCTCACTTTTGATTACCGTGCATTTCTTTTCTGGGAAAAGTGGGTTGAACCTGAGTAGTAAGTAGGACTTTGCCATTGGTACAAAGTGTTGAATCCATTCTTGCTTTCCAGCTTGTTTGGACCAAAGCGCAAGATGACCTCGGCCATTGCGAGGTGGCACAGCAGTGCTAGACCGCCCAGCGACGCTCTGGAACAGTCCTATGCTGACCAGCTTGAGGCCGAGATGCAAGAGATGGCCATTCAGCTACACAAGGTAACTGTGAAGAGAATTCTCACCGTAGCTTTGCCTCTGGGCCTTTTCTCAGCTGAAAACCTTTCATCTATGTTTATACAACTCTCTCTGTGTAGCGCTGTGAGGATGTAGAGAGCCTGCAGAGTCAGGTGTCTCAGGAGAAGGAGCTCCGTACAGTGATGGAGGGATGTCTGATGGAGGACAAAATGGCTTGGAAGAGGGTCCACGCTGAGCTGGTGGAAAACCACCGGCTGGCTCAGGACATGAGCAGCACACTGGCGAAGGCAAGAAGCTGCCGCACTGAACTGCTCTCCTGTTTGACTACAGACAGGAACAGCAGCTCTTACACTGGCGTGGAAGATAAAACCAAAAGTGACACTGGTGTTAAAGGTGAGTTGAGGTGGGCTGTGTTGGTTAACATCTTAACCTTTAAACTGAAATTAAGAAAAAAAGAAAAAAAAAGGTAGTGATTTGACATCTTGTTACAGCTGAGGAGGAGCTGATGAAGAAGCTGGACTCCTATGAAGAAGAACTGGGTAAGAAGGGGTAATGCTCACTGGTTTTATGTGGTCACTGGAGTCTAACACTAATGTCTGGTTGTTTCATCATTGCAGCAGGAATTCTGCAAACCATGCTTCAAAATCTGAGGCGATTAAGTGCTCCCGAAAAAGTCTCCGATAGCTGGGAACGGCCTTAAGCTACTCAGGTGACTACAGACTCTCACTGGATTGACACAGCTGATGTTAGAGGAGCTCTGCAGCTACTGTGAACGTAACATGCTTGTTCTTATACTTTAAAGGGGCTTTTGCCAACATTTGACGGAGGGTGATCTAACCACCCTGAACAATCTCAGTGAAATGGGAGAAGGCCGAAGACAAGGCCGGCCCTGCCAGACCAGAGCAGCTCGAGGGGCGAAGCAGAGCCGCTGCTCGTCTGATGAACGAAGGCTGAGGGCAACGCAGCTGCTGCAGGAAAACGACAAGCAGGCAGAAAGGGTACCTGACCCTCAAACGCTTGTGCTGGTGTTTACTGGACTCCTGTAGTTGGGCTGTGCAGATGCACAAGGGGGAGGAGGAGGAGGAGGAAGGACTGATTGCAGATCAGTAATACTGTGATTTTATAAGTGTATTCTCTTCCTATATGAAATGTGGGTTAAATTATGTTAATGCCACCAGATGGAGAGATACATCTTTAAAAAGTAGTCAAACTTAAAATAAGTTCCGCAGAGCTACACTTTATTTGAATGAAATCTATTCATATGTATACTGTTGTTAGAGGTTGGAAAATAATGTCCTGCTGAACGCATGTTTAAGAACCCACACGAGAGAAATGGATAAAATCTGCAACACATTCTGTTTCACCTGCAGCGGCCATTTGAGCCCAATATACTGGACTCAATATCTGGTGACGCAGCGTTAAGAAGACAGTAAGATTTCAAAATTACCACATTTATAGAGCAAAATAAGTTCAGTATTTGTTTAGACAACAAATACATGACAGACCGGTTTCTGATTTCTGTGTTGCAATCAAGTGGTTAGTAATCACCATGTAGTCCATGAAATCATCTGAAATCTTTAAAATGCCACTGTGGTCCAGTTATAGTAAATTAAATTAAAACCTGCCTGGAAATTAATAGTGTATATTTCAATGCTGTGTTATTCTTTTTTTATATTTTAAATTGACAGATGCATAAAATATGCAACAGATGAGCCTTTTTCGTTATGTAAATGTATTTTAGCGATAATCACATTTCAAACATCTTCTAAAGACGACTTTTTGCTTTATCTAAAAACTGACAAAAACTGAATATCATACCCCCCGCAGCTTAAAAGTACTTGACTTTGTCTGTGTTGCTAATATTTAAAATGTGCCAGTCCTCTATTCCTCCTTTACTGAGATTTGTGGTGCTCATTAGGCTCTGTATTCCACTTCTTTTTTTGCCTCTTCACCCAACATTGACTCTCATGTGACGTGATGTGTGATTCTGACACTCCAGGGCCAGTTGTTCGATCTAATCCGATGGTTCGGATTAGTCTGACTATTAATGTGGTCAATATTTAAACTGTTGTCACTACAGTGTAAAGTAGTTCAGTGCAGACTGAGCCTCGGGGTCAGGGAATCCCCTCTTGATTTTCAGGATGTCCTCATATGGAGCACATCTGAAAACTCTCGATTGTGCTCGGGGCCTTGGCGGTAAATCAATGTAGTGACACTTACTGCGCAGTAACAACCTTGGCACAATGTGGATGTTGGCTGAATTTAGCTTTAACAGCTGATCCAGATACACCAGCCTCGGGCCTGCAGGTTTTTCAGTGAGCGCTGACTCCGCCCAGCTCGTACAACTCTGCCGTGTGCGTGTAACAGAAAAACACATTTATTGCTGAGGCTAAAAATGAAAAGACGAGCAGATGATCGCTATTGTTACAGTGTCATGAGTAGTTGGCTGAAGGAACTCATTTGGCTGGTCGCCTCCTGATATGTGCTACTTTAAAACTCAGCATTTTAGTTTGTAACCTGAATGTTATGCTTTAAAATACTCAAAGTACAAATAACACCATATGGTATTTAACTTTATTGCTGTGACGGGTTAGGAGTTACTTAGTGTTTTTAAGTGTATTAAAGCGTTCTTGTTTTGGACACAGTACAGAATGCTTCTAACACCAAGCTGAGCCTTCAGTAAATAAGGTCACTGGGCAGAGGACTATCATCTGTAGTGATGCTCTGTTGCTGATTTACACTCTAACTGGCAGAAGAAAACACTTGTGATGCTGGGTGACATCCAAAACGTAAACATGTCAAAATAAACACAATCAAACTGAGGGTTGGACTGATAAAATATTCTGCGCCTCCCTGACATGATTTCTATGTAAAGATCTCTGACTCCAAGTAAGAAGGTTGCTGGTTTGCGTCCCGGTGAGGACATTCAGGATGTTTCTGTGTGGAGTTTGCATGTTCTCCCCGTGCAGCGTGGGTTCTCTCCAGGTTCTCCGGCTTCCTCCCACACAGTCCAAAAACATGTTGAGGTTAATTGGTGATTCTAAATTGTCCGTAGGTGTGAATGTGAGTGTCCTTGGTTGTCTGTCTCTAAGTGTAGCCCTGTGATAGACTGGTGACCTGTCCAGGGTGTCCCCTGCCTTCACCCTGAGTCAGCTGGGATAGACTCCAGCCCCCCATGACCCCAGTGAGGATTATGGGTGTATAGATAATGAATGGATGGATCTCTAACTAGTTGCAATCAGGCTACACAGCAGCACATGGATCGACATTTAAATATTAAAATTTACCCAAAATAGAGCAGTTCTGTTGAGGTTTATCTGGACAGAAGACGTCTCTGTTGGCTCCTACACTTATCTGTTTGTGTATCACACCAGCAGTGAGATATGCAAACTATGACAAGCGACTGTTACTCTGAGCAGCACACATTGTGTGTAGCTGCTGGACTGGAGGCTAGAGACGTTGGCAGGTTGCCAGTTGGGATTTCTGGGCCCGTGAGAGTGAAGTGTGGTTGAGGAAAATGAATAAGTAGTGTTCTTTCTGTTAGGTGCCCTCGAGCGTGACGTTTTACTCACACGGCTCGACGGAGATTAGATGTACTGCAAGGAAGTGAAGCTTTATCTTGTGAATGTCAGACTACGCTGGACCAGGACAACTCAGAGTGTCAATTCAAAATGTATTGCTTTAATGTATTGCTTGAATATAGAGCCATATCTCTTTCTAATATAAATTAATGCAACATTATCTACATTACTTCAAAATAAACCTTATGTACAAACATTAACAATCCACTTAAGATGAGCTCCTGTACAGCCTTCAGGGTTTTTACCAAGGGTTTAAAAACAATGTAAAAAGCAGCAAATGTGAATTCTGAATATCTTTTGTAACTTCTGTTTATACAAATCCACCAGCGGTTCAAAAACCCATTCAAATGCAAATATGAATTCACATGTGATTGTGTTTGCTCTTGAATGGCTGTCCAGGAGAGCACACATAAACCTCCTCCTACAGACCGCTGGTCTAATCTCACTTCAAAGCCGTCCTTCTTTCCACAGTGACAAAACGCTCCAGGCTCCAGGGATGCAGACATCTCGTCTGTCTGTGGTGTGTGTCTGTGTGTGATTCGGGCTGGTGTGGCCCCCCTCCCACAGAGGAGCAGCTGTGTGAACAGCGGCTGCGACTGGCTCAGGTGTACTCACACAGGTGACCGCAGCCGGCAGGGCAGTGAGCACTGCTCTTGAGCCAGTTCATCATGTGCTCCAGATGTCCGCCGTGGCTGCAGCCCTGACACCACACAAACAGTCCCTTCACCACATGGTGACACACTGCACACACACTGGCACACTGGTGGCACCTGAAGGAAAGACACATGGTGCTCGTCAGCTCGTTCCACTTCAGGATTTCCATAAAATTACATTCATTCTTAGACCAGTGTCCAGCATACAAGTTGCATTTAAGGCCAAATAATAATAAATAAATAAACGTAAAATTTAAAAATTAGCAAAACATCAAGACTAGGGAAACATTGCTAGGCAACCAGTGGAGACTCCTGACCAAGTGTACCTCCAGCGTTTTGTCAGTTTTGCACTTGTTTTTGTACAGAAGAAATGAAGAAGATGCAACATGTTATTCAGGGTGCTTTAGAGGTGCTTAAAGCTGTTTTTTTGTTACATTTAGAGAGCCAAGCTAGCTATTTATCCCAGCAGACAATAGGTTTGTTGTAACTATTTTATAATTGCCTATTTACAATTATTTGAGTTGACTGCAATCATTTTCCATTCACCAGTACAAGAACAGCTGGATGAAAGCAACAAAACTCAAATTTATAATGTTGTTTTCCATCGTTCGCGCGTCTTACTTCTGCTGTGGTTTAATGGCAGAAATGGTTTGTCTTGCAGAACTTAGTTTCTTGATATTAACACCATGGATTTAGTTGCAAAGCCAAACAACACAGCACTGCTGTTGGCACACTAATGAGACTGATTGAGCAATGTTGTGTTGGTAGAAAAATAGCGACACAGTGCTCATACCTGTCACATATCCAGCCCTTATTGCTCATTGGTCGCTTGCAGTTGCTGCAGTTGATGTGCAACGTTGTAGACGTCTGGTTGAGGCAGGTGATGGCACTGCACGTACTCAGCTTGATGACCTCATTAGAAACGTTCCACAGCTCGAATCGCTGCAGCAGGTCTATGTAGGACATGTACCAGTGCTCCTGAAATGGAAAACACAGTTGGCTCAGGGTTTCCTCTGCTACAACTGAGTCGTGTTTTCGTAGTAAATGAGTATTTATAGTCACACGAAAGGCCTAAAAACTCTCTAATTTATTTTTTTTTATCCAAATGAATACGATCCAATGAATTTGTCTGGGCGAATACATAAATCAAAAATGTTGAAATTATATTTGTACACACAATGTATTTCTATGTAAAGGACCGAGATCTTTTGATTAATACCTCTGCCAACAACAAGCTCTTATAGTCAGTCCATGAAATAGTTGAAATGCAAATGCTACTATATTTCAGAGAAGTTTTTACAACATTAAGACAAACACAATAGGTTTTTTTTGGTTTGTTTCTGACCTGTGTGAGGTCATCAATCTCTTTCCGGATTCGGTCTCCCAAGACGATGAGCACAGACACGGCCATCTGCACGTCGCCCTGCTCGGCGTAGTAGCTCAGCATCTCGCGCACAATGGGGCAAAAGAAGCTGGCGGGCAGATGTGGGCTGTACAGCGGCTGGGAGATGGAGATGAGAGAGAAAGACTCGATGGGTGTCAGACAGGTGACTTCGGCCTCGTTGCCGCTGACGTGCGGCGAGTCGGCCTTGTCCTGCTGAAGGTGCTCCGGAGCAGATGGGTTGTCCATGATCTCGTGGCGCAGCTGGAAGGCCTCCTGGGGCAGCGTGTACTCCTGCTCCTCTGTTACAACAAAAGAAGAAGAGATAATATTAGACAAAAGACCGCTGAGCACAGAGGCAGGTATAAATAGCAGGCACTGACGTAGGCAACTCTTCAGCTTCCTCGGTGATGAGCCTGTGACTGACCCGCTTGGTTGTCATGCTCCACAGAATAGAGGTCGTCGTCGTCTAACTCAGCATCACCAAACATGTACTCAGCCTGGCCGTCGCTGCCTTCTGTCTCCTCATTTTCTGGAATAAAATTGGAGAAATGTTGATTATATAATTCATAAAAACAACATAAGGACATTAAAGTCCTCTGAGTGTCCAGATTGGCCTCTAAGAGTTTAATGACCACCCTCACCTTCATTATTATTGCTGATGTGCGAGTTCCCAGGCTCCAGGTGGATGTTGTCCTGCCGGCTGTCACCTTTACTGCGCTCCAGCCTGCTCTCCGTGCCCATCCCTGAACCCATTTCCTTCATGCTGAAACTAAAAGCATCACAGGCACAGACGTTCAATTTCAGCGTGTAAATGCCAGGAGTTATTGTTTTGCAGCGGCGCGCTAAAAAGCTTGTTTACCTGTTCATTAAAGGCAACGTGCCGAGTTTACTGAGGTTGTGGTTTGGACCTTGTGCAGTGAGGTTCGCTGGGTCAGAGAACATAATTCTCAGCATGGTCCATGTAGTGGAAACCTTTGTGTTAAATTGAAAAGTCAGATTATTCACAGCACAAAATGCTCTACATAGGATTATGTTACTGTGATTGTATTACTTTTTCCTAAACTGGAACCCAGCTACTGTATATTATCGGCTCAGTGTTATAAGTCTTTGATTACCTTCAGTTGTTAACCTAATAATGTTGGCTCACGTCTTCAGTATTTATTGATTCATTAATGATAGTTACGGGAGCACAGTCGCTCTAAAGTTTAAAGCAA